ATTGTAGGGACTGGCTTAAAAGCATTGTAGATCAAACATTTATTTTAATATCTATCTATGCCAATCAGGTGAGCATTTTCACGCGTGCAGACAACAAACACTGATAGGGCGTCATCTAGTTTGACCAGCCAGCAAAGTCCGACTGCTGTGCAGTCACTGGCAGCTCTCTTTGTCTGTGTCTCGATGGGAGGGTATGGCATGAGGCTGGTGGTAGAGAATAGAGGTGGGGTGCAGAGAGAGATGGATGGAGGAAAGAGGGGAGGCGACAGACGTGAGCGGCGCAGGGGTGGCTCGGGCTGTCGGCAGCAGGCAATAGTGGCAGATGCATTACCAGTGACATCTCCATCCCTGCTGGTGTCTGAGTCTCTGTCACACACAAACACACGCTCACATGAGCACCAACACACGTGTCTCGGTTGATTGAGGCCAGCGGTTTGGCTTCACACCAGGCACAGGGGGTAATGACTGTCGCCCTTTTTTCCCCATCAGCCCCCTGCCTTATTCAACATTCACACACATCCACACCGGATAACATACCCGCGTACACACCGCGGCTGCTCTTCTGTCCCTTACTTTTGTCCCTGGTTTCCTGTACTGGAAGATGTCGGGCCAGCAGGGGGGTTGTATAGGGTTCCTCTGGAGAGCAATAAAACCTGATTGGAGTTAAAACACTTGGTCAGGCTTCCCCTCCCCTGCATCTGTTGGATTACAGTCAGCCAACCTGTCATCTGTGAAATGAAGGCTAGCATGGGAGGAGAGGGGAAAGACCACAGGAGGGGACGGACAGTGGAAACAAGAGACACAGAGTGATGTGTGAGACACTGGGAGGAGGGGAGATGTTGAGGAAGGCTGTGTTGAAACCTAAAAGGTAAAAAGACTTATTCTTCTTATCTACCAGCAGAAAAACAAGCAGCAGAAGATAAAGAAATCAAAGGTGAAAGCAGTGTTGGGCACAGGGTCACGTGGGGGGGCAGGCAGACTCATCTGACCTTTAGAAGAATCGTTTCATCTCTTCATCCTCAAGAATCGCTACCTCTGAGCACTGGAGGGTAGAAACGACCGCTCAGCCCCCCACCCCTACCCCCACCCCCACCCCCACCCCAACCCCCTTGTGTCCCTGCGCGCCTCCATTTTACCACACTTTCCTGCTCCCTCTCCGTCACCCGCTGCTGAACCCACACACTGTCTCCACCTGCTACGTCTCCCCGAGGGAATCATTTTCACTCTAACAGCTTCAATTAACCTTACCCTTTCACACACATCCACACTGACACGGCATAGACTAGGCCTGCGCCGGCACATCACCCCTCCCACATCAATCACTGGTGTTAAGGTCACTGGACTGGGACACCGGAGTGTCACATAGCTTCTTCACTGACATGTAGAGTAATGTGAGGCCACCTGCTGCAGTGTTACACGGATGAGCATACACTGTCCTTTAACAAACAGTGTCACTGACACAGATCGTTGAAGTTATTAGAGCCCGGACTGCCGAAAGGAAATGCATTTGAATTCATGTTCAAACTAAACGCCCCACGCTCGATTTATTTTCTGCTCCAACTTTAACTTTTGGAGGTAATGTGAAATGTTCTGGATCACCAATGGAAAGAGAATATTATCCATTTCTACACAAGCTCTTATGTGTTATTTTTTCTGCAAGCATCACTGACTACATCACACTGGATCATAGTTTTCTGAAGGAGGACTTGCCTGGTGTGTCCGTACATGAAATTGCAACGCATAACTGCTAATGAGGGACTGATAGCTTCCCAGCAGCAGGGCAGTAAAGGGCTACCTGGCCTTTGGTTTGCCACTAAAAGAAGCTCATATGAACACAAACGCGTGTGGCCAGGCATGTATGTGAATGCATGTTTGTGCACGCGATAAGTGGTCATAGAGGGGGAGGTTATATCCATACAGCTGCTCTTGAAATCACACTTGGCTGCTGCCTGCAGGCCGGTAACTCATATCTGCCCTTCCACTCGTTTTCAACGTCACCGTTCAGATGCTTGACAACAACACCAGGAGGCCGTTTAAGACATGATGTCCAAAACCTAACAAGTGCCAGCCCTTTATGGGATGAGTTTTAATGTGCTGAAATGAGATTAGATGGTTTGGCTTTGGTCATAATGTAGACTGTTGGAATAAAGATGCACCACACTGATAATAAAATCTCCTTTGATTCAGCGTGTTTGCAATTCTGATGTTTATATTTTTATTTCTATCTCTTAGTCCAGAAGACCATGGCTGATATTCCATTTAATAACCATGTGCCAAACAAGGAGGACCAAAACCTCAGACAAAAAAACAAAAGCACGATCTGTTATAAATGCTCGTCGTACATCACAAAATACATGCACAGGCACGTCACTTCATCCTGTTCTAAAACACATCAAATCAGTCTTTAACTGCTGCATCCTTTCACACAACAAGCTGAGCTCTCCCTGGGCTTATCAGAGCATAATTGCTGTTGATTGGTGTATTATTGCTCTGCTTAATCTGCCTGTGGGTGGCTAATAATGGAACTACATCAGGGATGTTATCAGTCTCAGGCAGACGGTGTGCATGGAGTGAAAACTGGAAAACAGGAAAAGAAAGGGACTGGAGAGAAGAACGGGAGCAAAGGACTGGGGAGAAGTGATTGTTAGGAGAGGAGGAGGAGGATTGTTTGATTCATGCTGTGGGAAGGGGGTGAACAGATTAGCAAGGGACAAAGTAGAAATGGAACCATGATTGTATCTAAAATGCTCACCTGTTTGTCTGTTTGAGGTAAAATAAGGGCAGATCAGTGAGCAGGGTGTTGTTCTGACGGAGTTTCGAGCGTGATGCTGTTCCCAGGAGAATTCTTGTATGATTGATGAAGCCTTGTTCCTCTGCCTCAGTTCTATTTCTATACACATGCTGGAGGAGGCAGAAAAGGCTGCAACAAGGTGATTAGATTCCTCTCTATTGGCACGACAGCCTGAAACAGGTATCACCCACAGCAGAGAGCCAGTCCCAATGCCCTGTGCAACAACAGCATGTTGGCAACTGACCCCGTGGTGTAAGAAGGGAAACTAACATGAGGAACTTGTGTTTCTGTATTCCTCTGGGGGGCTAGCAGCAATTGAACTGGCACACTCAAGAGAACGCTGAAAGTAGTGATGCAAGCAGGATACAAAGACAAGCAATTGGATGGTAGACAAAGAACGACGTTACTTTGAGTCAGGCAAAGTTTTAGAATAAATTGCTGTCGACTGAATGAGCACACTGAAAACTAGGATATAAATCATGGACTTGGAGTACATCTAATGAAACGTAATCCGTCTTTAGCCTTGATAATGCTGTTATAGCTCCACAGTGAAGCAGCTCCGCAAAGTTTGTGTAAACGTTCATTATTTTTGGAGGTATTTGGACGTGTGATAGATGCTGCTGCTAACAAACTGCACTGGTTTAATTTGTGCGGTAGCCCCGGGGATGTTACTGGATAATTTTGTTGCCTCTGACTCAGAACAGGATTCTGAAATGTCGGGAATAGTTTATTTAAAGAAGGCCCATGGAAATACCGAGATACACTGAAATGTATCATGGTCCAAGCGGTCTCTAAGTCCTCTATAGCTTTGGTAAGATACAGATCAATACTTCCCATCCCCTCAAAAACGAGAATCATACGAAATCCATGTTTCCAACCTGTTCGTCTTTTGTGCTTTATGGAAACGTTTTGATTAATAAAATGAGCAATCATATAAAACAGCAAATGTGATGACTCTAGGAAAACATTTGCAGATTACTTTCTGAGAGCTCTCTGTTGTTTACATCTGGTGGTCCTCAGCCACCAGAGGCTACAAGTTCCCAAGTTATGAGCATGTTTTAAAGAGGAATAAAGACCTATTGAACCCTTCAGTCACTGTCAATGTTTTTTTATCTCTATACACATGCTCCAGAAGGATAAAATGCTTCTTCTGGGAAATTATATGAATTAACATACCTACAAACACCATTTGACATTAAACTGAACACACAAACTGATCCAACTACTGTAGCTGAACTTTTTAAAAATTGTTAGTTTATATTTGATCTTTGGAGAGCAACGGGAGTCAGGACCAAACACATTCCTTTTTGTTTTGAAACATGAATTTTTTTCTAAAGTTTGATAATCTCGTCTATCTATAAGCAAAGAGTATGTGGAATAAAGAATAGAATACAGCATATCTGAAACTGGGTAGTAAAGGGCATGATGTGTGAGTCTGAGTTTTGGCCAACTGTTGGCTGAGAACAATGAAAAAACCGTGTTGCAACTGTTATATAAATACAGGTTTTTGTGAGACTACCCCTAACACAAGCGATGTCTCACACAGGAAAAATTGAGTAATCCGAGGAAGTACAGGACATGCAACTAAAGTTTTCGCTGGCTTTGTGGCCCACCTCTGATTGTAGTGACTCCAACTTGGCAGGAGATGGCGCAAAAATACTTTCTCCTTACTTACTAAGTACTTACTAATACTTACTAAAACACGCCAAAAGACACTTTAACCCCAACCCTCTGTAAAAGTTTCATTGACATACCTTTTAACTAAACAGGGGAGCATACATTGTGTTTATGTCTATAGGGAAACCATTCCATTGTTCATTTAGACAGTTCAGAATAGACTATGAGTAATAAACTAATGGTAGAAATTCTGTGGCAAGTTGTGACAGTATTTCTAACGGTTGGTGAGAAGAGTCATCCTGTTGTGTTGCTTGTTGGGGACTAAATATGAGTTAAATTTGCCTCCATTTGTTGGTTCCCCCCTCGAGATACCAGTAAATTCCACCAAATGATGTGAGTATGACATGTGCTTAAAAACTCAAAAGGCAGCCTCTTGTGAGATCTCTGAGTCGAAAAATCGGTGCCACATCCTGGTGGAAACGTGACCCACGACACGCAGCATCCTCCCTACATCATTAGTGTGCGCGCGCGTAACGCCCACAGACATGACGCGCACGTCCCGGCTTTAAATACCGTGAGAGACCCCCCATCCCAGCAGCTGCACTTGTGCGGAAAAGTAGAGGAGGCGTGACATTCCACTCCGTGTTTTCACCTGTTCAGCTCCGGTCCTAAAGGTAAGATCACCCATGCGCAACAGCTTTAGCTCCGCATCTTGCGTTTCTTTCTTTTTTTTAAATCCTCGATGGAAAACATGTGTTGCGCCTTTTGGACATGCCTAATGGTTTGTTGGACGAGCCATATTCCAGTTCTTGGTTGATTGGCTGTTTCTATATTTTCCAGTTCTCAAATAAGGAAAGGTTTTCTTTCCAGCTAAGCTTGCAGAATCAACAGTTTCCACTTGTTGCTTACTATTTTTAGCTGTGGGCGTAGAGCTCTGCAGAGTTAATTCATTTGTGATTATTTCATTCAGCATATTTATAAATTGGATCATTCAGACAGCCATATGCAGGGGTCTAGTAGTTTGAGTCTGCCTCGGGGACTGCAGCAGAGATGGTGTAATATGCGCAGTGGTTACGCCCTCTGCTGCCGGCCAGGACCAGCATCCAGATAAGGGAAGGATATAAATGACTCAAGCGCAGAAACCCCCAGTATCTGCACGTGCTGTCCAGAGTAAAATGGACAAATGCAATGACATTTTCAGGATGTGGATTTTTGTTTCTTTTCTTTCTGTGTGAGACGTTTGGATTGGCTTAATTTTGACTACTCATAATGTGCACTTCAGAAGTGCACAACATGCAGAGCAGCAACATGAAATAAGAGATGCTAAGCCTCAGCTGTGACACATGACACTCCATCAGAACCCAGCACACAGCCGATGACTTGTTAGGTAAATGTCATGATGCTGGGAAATTATCAGTAGCAAGAAAAAAATAATTTTCTGTGGCAGCTTCCATCCCTTTAAGTCTCAGAAATTAATCTAATCCAAAGCATTTAACAAAAGAATAGTGCCCAATATCATGAAATCTTCCAGATTCTAATAAATGGTTCTAATCCTCATTTGGCTGGTTTGTACAGCACATTTAAACAGGTAAAAACCTCTACCCAGTTGAGCAAATACAACTCTTTAGCCTTAAAAAAGGGGTTTTCATAAAGGACACACCCTGGTTCAGATGCTAGAAAAGCTTCATTCTCATAAGGGAGGGAGTGTTGATTGGATAATGGGATTATAAGTATAACTGGTCGGCTTGGAGCAGCCTTTTATTGTGCTTAAACTGACAGCGCGGAGGACCTAAACGTCTCCTCAAGTGAGTAATCTTGACAGGCGCGCCACTACGTGCCGCTCTTCACATCACAGCGGCGAGCCAGCTTAGTCATGCTGCTGATGTTTCTGCGCACGTGAGGCCTCAGCCCATGCCTGCCCGAGCAGGAAACAAACAGCAGCGTGTGACGCAAGCGTGGGCTCCGGGACAGTCTCTGCCGCAGTAGATTTCCCAGGCAGCGGTTGCCATGGAGATGAAATAAGGCTCCACGGAGTCACATCTGGAAACCACACGCAGGAGTAAAGACTGGCTAACCTGTGTTGTTAAAGGATTTTGGGGGTGATGGAAATGATGCAGTCACCATGAGACAAAAAAAAAATCCAAATTTGACTCAACCTTCTGGGTGATGGGAGTCACGTAGATCTTTGTGTGGCCTATGAGCAGTGAGACATCTCACTGCTTAATTGATTTGTAATACTACATGACTTCATCTTCTTTTCAGCTGACACCCTTCTTCCCCTTTCACTTCAGTATTATTTACGTTTCTGCATCCTTAACCCTTTCTCCATGTGTGTGTGTGTGTGTATTGTTTGCAGATGTCTACCCACGAGAAACTCATTGGCCATGTGATGAAGGAGGAGCCTATTGGCTGCAGGAACAAGGTGACAGTGGTTGGTGTCGGCATGGTGGGCATGGCCTCCGCCATCAGTGTCCTGCTGAAGGTGCGTATGAAGGACTGAAGATTGATCCATAACATCTTTAACATCGTAGTACTTCTTTACAATGGAATTAAAGTTAAGATTTGAAAAACTTGAGTTGCAGGTTTGCATTTCATAATATAGAACCCAACTGAAGTTCAAAACAAATCTCAAACGTCTGTTTAAGGTCCACCTTTTAAGAGTAGAGGGCTATTTAATTTCTGTCTCATTCTATACATATACATTTTTTCAAACAAATTAATTGAACTACCAATGTGTAGATGAATGCATCGTTAAACAGACTGATCTGTGTGTGTAAAATCAGGACCTGTGTGATGAGTTGGCCCTGGTTGACGTCATGGAGGAGAAGTTGAAGGGTGAGGCCATGGACCTGCAGCACGGAGCCCTCTTCCTCAAGACGCACAAGATTGTGGCTGACAAAGGTGGGAATGCACAACAATAAGTATCTTCTACGTGTTTAAGCACTTTTTTTAAGTCAAGACCCAAAGTCATTATCTGAACACTGGTTGTTGACTGTCAGATTACAGCGTGACCGCCAACTCCAAAGTTGTGGTGGTGACCGCTGGTGCCCGCCAGCAGGAGGGCGAGAGCCGTCTTAATCTGGTGCAGCGCAATGTTAACATCTTTAAATTCATCATCCCCAACATTGTCAAGTACAGCCCCAACTGCATCCTGTTGGTGGTGTCCAACCCAGGTTAGTGTGCTCGCCGATAAAGGGGATGGATAGAGCAAAAGCCTGTGTAGTGTGCATAATATGTTCTCTTTTCAGTGGACATCCTGACATACGTGGCGTGGAAACTGAGCGGTTTCCCTCGTCACCGCGTCATTGGCTCTGGCACTAACCTGGACAGTGCCCGTTTCCGCCACCTCATGGGAGAGAAGTTCCACCTCCACCCTTCCAGCTGCCATGGCTGGATCATCGGAGAGCATGGAGACTCCAGTGGTATGCAGCACACTTCTAAAAATAAAACCGCTTCTCACCCTCCTCCTCTCAAGACATTTTCCAGTCTGGGAAGACTTAATCGAATTCGCCGTTGCGACGCCGTTTGGTATTCGTGTTTGCTCGTACCTCTCAGAGTTGACTCATTTGCCACCGTTATTCTCTCCCAGTGGCTGTGTGGAGCGGCGTGAACATCGCCGGCGTTTCTCTCCAGAGCATCAACCCAAAGATGGGGGCTGACGACGACAGCGAGCACTGGAAGGAAATGCACAAGAAGGTGGTTGATGGGTGGGTACAGTTTTACATCACTGAGTCCTCACAGCTGTCAGCTCTAGTATGCATAACCGCCATTTGGAAGCCAAACATACAAAGTTGAATTTATTTAATTTAGCAATTTCTTTATTCAAAAGTGCACAGCCACATCAGCCTTTTTACCCTTCCACACGATATGTCACGACTCTCTGAATCCATGATAATCACTAACCTGATATGCACACCTCATATTCAGTATTGGGGTTTTTACCATAAAAGGTTTCGGTTCTCTTCCCTTGTTAGAAATAGGATTTAAAGATTACCCTGCAGCACCTCACATTGCAACATCCATTGCCACATTGCATTAGCTAACTCTTTTGAGAGGTAAGCCATGCATCAAACAATGAGATGACTTATCATCTATGTTATCAGGTGTGGAAAAAAAGATTTCATCATCGGGACAAACATGAGGGGTAACTGTGCACAAAAGATCTCAACAATAAAATGAGGTCAGAAAAGGTGCACTTGACAGTAATAAGAGAAGAGTGAACTTTCTTATTGGAACATCGTGTTCCAATAAGATGTTTCGAAACCAATGTCAATGTTGAGTCAAGTAAATTTGAATTCCAGTTGGTTAATAAGCACAACTGAAACCACGATGATTTACTGATAATCAAAAAGTTCAAGTCAAGTATATTTTTCATCCTGTCATGAGCTACTGGATTCTTAAATCACAAACAATTACAAAGGACATTGACAGATATTATACTTCCATGATTTGTTTACAGTTGAGGCGGATATCATTTCAGTCTAAAACTACGTTTTCCACAGAGCTTACGAGGTTATCAAGCTGAAGGGCTACACTTCCTGGGCCATCGGTATGTCTGTGGCTGACCTAGTGGAAAGCATCTTGAAGAACCTCCACAAAGTGCACCCTGTGTCCACACTGGTTCAGGTGAGACGATTGTGAACGGGCAGTTTCATTGGGTGCCCGGAAAATGGAACCCGACTGCTGACGGTCTGATTTCTTCTTCTCCCCGACTGAAAAGGGCATGCATGGAGTGAAGGATGAGGTCTTCCTGAGCATCCCCTGCGTACTGGGCAACAGCGGTTTGACAGATGTCGTTCACATGACACTGAAGCCCGACGAGGAGAAGCAGCTGGTGAAGAGTGCTGAGACCCTGTGGGGCGTACAGAAGGAGCTTACCCTGTAAAGAGCGCCTCTTTGAATTCTTCGAGCCACGCAACACTGTGGTTGACACCCTCCTGCATTACCTCCTGCGTCCCTCACAGCACTGCGCAAAAGAGACATAAGAATATTTTTTAAAAGCCAAGTATTTGCTATTAAAGCATTCAAAGGTAGACGTCACCCTTAGATGTTCACATTGGTGTCACTTTCCTTTACAACTTCCCACCTGCTCTCGTCCGTCTGTGACTGAGTTATTAGTAACTCTTACTCTCAGCCTCTGAGGCTTGGAGAAAAAGCAGAAAAGTATTCAGTGCCCCGCTCCATTGCGTATTGACTTTGTGTTGTCTGTGTAATGTCTGTTGGGTGTATGCTACCGTGTAATGCTGCTGTTGTCTCTGTGCTCCCCGTGTCCACTTCGTATTAATTCTGTGGTCATTGCTAGTTGTTGTATTGTTTTTCCAACTTGGCAATCTCTGTTTATCATAACAGAGACATTCCAAAGTCTAAAAGGAGGGCTTCCCTATCAGCCTATAGTCGTTTCAGCACTGCCGAATATTGTGAACCACAGGGCCCAAAATCCTGTGCTACTAAAGTACCTTACCCACTCAGTAAAGCAATGTTACATCTTACAGCTTTGCACTGAAGCCTTCTTAAGCAAACCTTACCACAAGTGCATTGTCCTGCATGAGTGAACAGACAGGATTACTCACTGTGTCATCCTAGACAGCCAGCCTATGATGTTCTTTGGTGGTAGTTTGTGCACCAAAATGCTCAAACCTTTTGTATTCCACTATCATTTGTAGCTGGCGATACGGCTAATATATTTATGTAATTCTGTAACATTAAGATTTAGCACCTACTAACGAACTGTACCTTTCATGGCAGCTGGGTATTTATTTTTATTTGCCTGAACACCAAATAAATCTGCCAGAACAGTGACGAACCGGCCCTTTGTTCTTGACTGTCTCCCAATCACATTAAAGGTTGCTTGTACAGGAAACAACAATGTAAACTGGTGATAGATTAAGAGTTTCTAATGACTTGGCAGAGGTTTCTTTACCTGCTGAGAACAAAATAATTTTTTTTCTGGATGCTGGATTCCAACACAAAGTTTTGCGGATTGAAGCCCGTTTTACTGTGAAACTTGATTTTGAAAACATCCCCTTAAGAATGAAAGGATCGCTTCACGCGTTAAAATCAGACGTTTTATTTCTTATTGATTTCCATAAATCTACAGATATAAAAGAACAGGTGATCTATGGTCGAAATGAAAAGAAAAAAATCTATCATACAATTCAAAGTGCATTTAGTAAAAGGCTAACTTAAGAGACCAAACTTTACATAAGTTAACTTTCTGATTAGTACAATAGTTATTGACTTTTTCGTATCCTGAAGCCCTCGGTTTTATTCACAACTTTTTCCTGACATTTATGAAAAACCTAACTTTTTCAGCAGGCCCAAGCATGAAAGGACAGCACAAGGAAAACTGAAAGGTAAGCAAAAAAAGAATACAAATCCTTCCTTATACTTTAAAATTAAGTATACCAATACTGCCATCCGCCTTAAATAGAGAAACTGTACAGAGTGAAACAGCTTTTTCAAATGACTGTCTCGACACAAAAGAGAAAAAGCTGTAATGATGGTTAGAGGTATAGGAGCTCAAATAGGAAATTTTAGCTCAGTGGCCCCAAGAGATCGACTAAATATGATCCACAATGCATACTGAACAAATCCTGAGACTTGACCTCTGTCATTTGGAAGAGGTATTCAGGGTATTCATTTCGGAGCCTTAACCTTTCATTCTGAGGAGTGGACTGCAGGAGCACTCTCCAAAGAGCCTCAGCCCACCCCCTTTATCATTTGTGCTTACGGGCCAAATGGCTTTGTCCAGCGAAGGGACAGCAAAGAGAGCCTGTGGATGCGATGGCGCATGCTGTATGCGGGTAAACACAGTAACTCGTGGTACACATGTCCAGGTACAGCATTGCTCGGGCCAAACGTTGCATACATTGCACGCACGTCAGGCTTACACGTACACTACGCGTACACGCGTGTCGAGCTGCTTCTCACGTCACAGGACCTAGATCACTACGGCGACAGGGGCTTCCACTGAACACTGGGGCGCACAAATAATAATGTCACGTCGGGGTTTTGTTTGACAAGGAGCAGCGGCCTCCAACGGCAGCCAATACGACAGAGGCCACACTCTGACGTTTCACAACTCTGTCTGTGTTGTTTCTGTTAAAAAAAGAGGCAGCTGGTTGATATACAAGTAGACAGTAAAAAGGGAGTAAACAGCTGGCGAAAGAGTAAGAGTGAAGATATGGATGTTTCCGGGCCGTCATCGCGGGTCAGTACAGGTCACTGAGGCCGGCAGTCTTGCGGGCTTTCTGCATGAGGGCACGCAGCTGGAACTGTTTCCTGGACAGAAGTCGCACATGCTGAAACAAAGAAGACAAGGAGTCAATAGGGCAGACGGCAAGTGCAGCACAGTACCCCAGTCTTATTCGTGTTGTGCAGTTAATAGTGTTTGTTTCGAGGTGGGTACCTTGAGGAAGACTTCCAGCTCTATGACACCTCGGCGGAGGGCTTCTCCCAGATAAAAGATTGTGTCCTCAATTGCATTTTCCTCAGCGTACAGATTCAAGATTTGTTTGTACAGCGGAGCGGTGGGCACAATGACGTCGTCAATGTCATTGTTCTCTGACTGGTTCTCCATTTTTTCCAAAGCCTCGCTTAGCTCCTCGTCCTTTCTCTTCAGGAGCTCTATGTTCCTGTCGACCTCGGCCTGGGAAACGCAAAAGAGTGGCGGTTGAGTGATATGGTGGTGAAGCAAACAAAACAGTACAAAAAAGGGGGAGAAAAATCTAACTTCAAAGAGGAGAGGTTTTCTTACCACTTCTTGGTCAAGTCTTGAGACCATCTCTTCTAGTTTTTGATGTCCTTTCTTCAAGTCTTCCTCTGTTCGCTTAAGAGCGTCCAACTCAGCCTGAGCTCTGTCCATCTCCTCCTTCATCCTCCAGCGAAGTTTGTCACTCACAGCTGAAATGAGAGATGCGCGGATGGTGTCCTCGCCAATGGTGCCATCTCTGCTCTGACCTGTGGAGAAAAATCCGAAATATGCCGCTTTATTCTTCTTAGGTCCAGTTACTTCGATACTTTCTGTGTTCTCAGTTTCCAAGGCATAGTAACAAACTCATGTGTCTAGATGGTCACGTTTCAGCTTGTTTTATAAGACAAGTTTTATTACATCAAAATCCTCCATCACTACTATGTTTTAAAATATCTAGTATATTTTAAATATTTCAAGAATAGTAACTTTTTTTGTAACTTGTATTTACTTTTAAATGTAATTCATTCATTTTGAGTGTAAAACTTTCGTAGGGATATATTTCTATGAATTTCTGTTACGTGTACTTGTTAAAATACACAGAAATAAAAAAAAAAATCACGTATTTCATTCTATTGAAAAAAAAAAAAGTTGGAAGGTCAAGAGTTTTAAAGTTCTGCAAGTGTAAATGCACACAGGTTTCTAAGGGTCTAGACTACCGTCTGTACTGTCTGAACTCAGCACCACAAATGTCAGAGTTGATACTGCACACAGGCAAACCCATTTCTTCTCTTTACTAAAAATAGGAGTCAAATAAGGCTCCTTCCTGCTGCAGCTCCGTCTTTGTGCACTGTTCCTGTCCTCGTCTTAAACTACTGCACAGAGAGCGTCTTAGAGAGTTTGTGAGGGGGCTAACCTCTGGCCTTTAATACCCCCCACTCTAGTTACAGTAATGGCCTTTCACTGGTGGCTCAGCGTTCCAGCGAGGTCACTCAAGAGGGGGAGTGAGTCTGAGCAAAAAGGTCAAGTCTTCATTTGGGGTTAACTAAAAACCATGTAGAGCTACACTTTAATCTGGAAAAAATGACATTTTTTTGTATACGCTGAATGCTGCTTGTCAATATCAAAACTAAATTACATCAATAGGGAAATTCATACAGTTCCTGTTTGATGAAGCACATTTGTATTTTGCTTTCCCATTGACAGGAGTAGAGAACTCGAAAATGTCATCAGAAAAATGACAGCACCCATACTTATAAATACAACACATACCCACTGTGGAGACTGGGGTCTGGGTTGGGTAGTGTGCAGGTCCTGGAGTGGCTGGGTAAGAGTTTCCTCCTGGGTACTGGTAAGCTGGGTAACCTCTGAATAGTGATAACCAACAGTTCATTTAGACGATGAATTAACCAACTGCTCAATGCTGTATGTTACCAGTTATTTCACAACTATACACTCACGATTTCACAACTATTAAAAAAAAAAGGTGCAAAGCCCCAAAACCCTGGAAACCCAGCACAAAAGTCGTTGTTACACTCAAGCTAAACTGCTCAATGCCTTAAGTTAATAAGCCTATCATTATAAATACTAAAAAAAATTTATTGTTAGTAACAAGAACTTTTTAAAATTAAATAACTTACAAACATTTTCCAAAAACAGACTGCTTCTTTACATTAAAAGAACTAAACTAATCCCATAAATCAATGTACACTAAGTTTAAGGACTAAGTCAACAGCAGTAATCAAAACAGACCCATTTCTTTTCACTTTCACCTCAAATTGCTACTCCGTGCCAATAGATACATGATATATAAAAAAAACTAAATTAAACTAAATTAAAAAATCAATTTTTTAAATAGAGAAAGATCTAAAAAAAAAAGTCTGCATTGCCAGTGATATTTAAGCTTGTTGGCCGATACCAAATTTGCATTGGTATGGTTGCTTTTTTAACCATTTATGAGCGGGTTGGGAGAAAGCGTTAAGAAGTAGAAGACAAATGGCTTACCCAGGGTTGGGATTTGGGCCGTAAGGTGACACCACAGGCATGCCAGGCATGTAGGAAGCTGAGGCAGAAACAGATTATAAAACAGAGTTGAGGATATGTGGGAAAATCTATTATTTGTCTCATGTATTTATACACAGATTTCTTTTAGATCTTGATTTTGTGTTGCTGTGATATTTGAGCTCCACCTGGTGCTGGAGGAAATAACCTGCGTCACCGTGTTTGCACATACAGACAATCATATCAAAACGTCCACAGTTATTACAGTTTTGCCTGACCAAGTTTTTGATAAAACATTAAATGCATGTGCAGAAAAACATATTGGAGATTTTTTTTTTTGGGCGGCACTTTCAGGTTTTTACAGGCTTTTGAAAACATTTAAAGGCAGTAGCCTGTTCTTCTAAACAGGCATATTTTGAAGGTACAAATTATCCAACAAGGTATTTGTTTTAAAGATTACAATGGGAACATAAAAAATGTATCTCACTCACAATTAGGGGGTCCAGCTGCTTGAAAAGCTTGGTAGGGAGCTTGTGTGGTGGGCCGGGAAAACACTGGAGGCTCCTCTCCAAACACAACTATCATCACCTGAATCAGCCCATACAGGTCTGACTGAGGCTGCAGACCAAACAGAGCAAAACGACTTATACAAATACAGTCAATAAACTCAAAGGTCAACAATGAATAAATAAAATGGTTGGTCCTATGTTTGTCAATTAAAATGTGTTCTCAAAGAAAACACAGAACAGAAAAATAAATCTACAGGATATGACTGCACAGGGCTCCTGCTGCCTTTTTCAGAGACCACCGTAGGTATTGAACTTGGTATAATTTTTTTTGTGGGCTATTGTAAACCCCACATATCAGATCACTCTGTAATTCCTCAATGCAACCCAGGACACATTTGCATTAAAACCGTTGTGAACACTTCAAATGCATGTAAGAAAATGTCTCTATTTGGTCAAATCTCAGTGTAAACACACCTGTACCAGGAGCTGTTCATTCTGGTTGTTGATACAATTACTACTCCTTTGAAATGAATACAATCAATACTGATGAAAATTACTCACTAAAAAACAACTAACACAAAAATAATTCATCTAACTTACGTGCTTCCACTCATGTAGATAAGGCAGGTATATTTTGCCATTGGCATCAATGTGCTTGCCAGTTTTGATCATCATGGCACTTGTAGGTTTCACAAAACAGATTGGGGGGTTGTAGGGATATGTGTCCAGCAGCCACAAACACACAGGGATGTTGTAGACATTGCCTACATCAAAGCAACACACACATAAAGTAGCTTAAAATGCATATTAGTCAATTTCTCCCTGGAGATCAATAAAGTATATTCAATCAATCAATCAATCAATATAGTCCCAACAATATTATTAATCTACCACTAAACCTGTTTGACCTATAAAAGTAAACTAGGTATTTGAATTGTGTGCAATGACACACTTTTTTTTGTTTTCCTTTTTCAAAATGGGTCAGCCTGTAATTATCACACGGGTGTAGCACCACAGTGATATTGCAGATAGCAAATATGTTAAATATCAAAACAGTGAGAATATAAAATAATAGCATGCAATATTATAAATGACATTGTTGACTGTTCTGAAAACAGCTGTAGCATAATGAATTCAAGTGGTTGACCTTTCGGGTTCTAGTAAATCCAAATGTAAAATTTATGAAGACATTTCCCAACTTGTTTGGGACATTGATTCACTTCATATCTGGTTGCTCGTGATTATTCTGAACCCTAACTAAAAAATTGACATTTTTGGCAGATAAAATGGGCATTACACCAGAATGTTACTAGTCAAAATAAATCATGTATAATAAAAACTAACAGAAACTTCAAAAACTTATTTATTTCAATAGACCAAGACAAACAAATTTATTTAGTACAATCTCTGCTCCAAAAGCTCTATTGAATTTAATTATTTTGCCAACTAGAGACTAAACACATGTGTAATCTGCTTAGTTTATGGAATAGAAGGTTAGTTTAATATCACTAACAGGACCTCCCTCCCTGCTGACAGCATTATCCCAAACCTCTTAATCTGCTCTGATTATAAACAATCCTGTAGTTATGTTTTATGGTGACAAAAATAAAACATTTCTAGAGTGGATTAATGTCCTGCTTTGGTTAGAAGGAGATACTTTACTCTCAGTGTAAGGCATGGCATGGCTGGACACAATGAAAATGGGCGTATTGATGGCGTGGAGATATCATGTATCTATTGAATGAGTCTCTTTGTCTACTCCACATGAGAAAGCTAAACTGACACTTTAAAGATTTGAGGAAATAACCATATGTAAAATCCTTTATAGTGAAATAATTAATAAACAATGTAAAAGAAGCATTGTTTACCTCTGTAGCTCACAGGGACAGTGCCTGTCAAGCTCATTAGGTCTCTTGTAGAACCATCATTAAACACTGAAACAAAGGCATATATACAGCATCAGATTAGTATACATCGTGTCACCTGAACCAAATAGTCACAAAATGGAGCACTAGTATTTTCAAATTTACCATAAGCATCCATGACTGGCTTCAAATCCTTGTACTGAGAGATGACATTGGTTATCTCACGAACTGTCATCTCTTTATATTTGTATTGCTGGAATAAAAACAATAGACATAGGGTAAAAAGAGGGATGTAGAGAGTCACTGTAGTCAAACGTCCCACTGATGCTGACGCTAAATAAACTAATCAGGTGAAAAACACTGTAAAATAATAATTAATTGTGAACTGATGCGTCATTAAAAAAAAATTACACCAGAAAATATTGATCTTGCCATGACATTGCGTTTTATATTAATTTCATATTCATTCTTGAGAGAACAGTGGGGTGTAATTGAGATATCATTTGAAAAAGTAAAGAGGTTTCAACATTGAGAGCAACAATTAGGTGGAGAAAAAAAAACAAGCTACATGCATACATTTAATAACAAACAAGAACCTTTGCATTATGTTTATCTTTTTTATTGGCATGGTCAAAATGGCTGACTAGTTTAATAAACCTGCCTACAGGGAAAAAACTCATCAGCCCTATGTAGGTCTAATTTGCAAAGTGACATCTACTTTGATGATATAGCAATCAAATAGAAGTCAATATATAGTATTTTGTAAAACTTAACTGGGGTTCATCTTAAAGCAAGTAATTAATAGTCTGAGTCCCACACAGGTAAGTTTATGTGATGTTAGCTACCGGCTAAACATTATACAGTAAAATGTCAGATTAATAGACGGCTATTAGAATAAATATATATCACACTGGCAATTCTCTACAGCAAAATGAAACCTCATAATCGAAATGTTTCAAAAAGTGAAACCATTAATCAATTGTGTTGGACATAACATTTTCCAGGAAATGTAAACTTAACCCATATAGTATCACTTCGGTTTCATTAGCTATCGTAGTACTATTCTCCTTCATAGTTAAGTAGCAATCTTACCTTTAGCATTTTCTTGAGTGCGCTTTCGTTGACAACTGCCATGTTCCTTGAACGATGCCTTTTTACAACTCAAAATGAATTTATTATTGAGGAACAGCTGACTTTCAAGCCAGCTAATGTGAGAGCTAACACAAGACGACGCTGCTAACTAGCAGGACTTCAGTGAAAGCTAGGCTATCGACAGCCCAGCCTTGGGCCCAACAGTTAACACAGAATCGTTTTCAGTTAACCCTCTTGCTATAGTATTACAGAATACTCAGGTTAACACGTCGATATTCGGTAAATTAATAACCAATACAAATGTACAAACACAGATTCTTTCCTGCTCTTCTAAGAGGCCGAAAAGGTAAATCCGTTGATCAACATCAGGAATTTCCGGCAGCCCTGTTGACTGCTTCCGGTCTGTAATGACGTAGTTTCGCGTTCATTTGAGTGAACAACCGCTACCATGGGCAGCGTTTTGTAGTTTTTTATACTTTGTCTAATGTAAATTTGCATGTCCCGGAAAAGGTCTAAGGTCAGTTGAGACAAATAAGACCTCAAACATCCTTGCATGACTGTTCATTGCTTATAACGTTGTATCAAGATAGTCTTGTTAATGTAATAGTACAATACATAACCAATTTTGCATTTAAATATGACTACAATGATGATCAGTCATGACATTAAAAGGAAAAAGAAGTAATTTGTCTAATCATGTATTCATTTTTACCTGAGTCTTGCAATAAGATACACATATGTGTTTGGCAAATGACTTTATTTTGGGTGTTAAAAAGTTACAAATAATTCAATACAGTCCCCAGGAGCAGTATTATCAGGCTGTCAATAAGTTTGGATTTAAATTATGTGTTTTGTATTTAAAAAACATTGCAAAATCTTTAAAGAATTAACACACTTCACAAAATGTCCACAAATGAAAGCTGATCTGTTATGATAAACAATCTTGTGACTGGCTGTTGTGAGAGGTTTTTAATTAACCTGCTTATATCGTTTTGAAGGGCTTTGCCTCTCCATATAATTCGTTCAAAAGTCCAAATGACTTCAGATGATTGCACAGAACTGACCTGTGGGTGCAGTTTTATGAGCTGCTTGTAAGGCCGTTCAAGACAGTTAGCAATAATAAACACGTGAGTGACATACTTTTTTAAAAAGTGAAATTCATTTAATTTCCACCAAAACTCAAAAATTAACTTGGTGAAGTCTAACAAAATTATTTTTTAATGATATATTATATGCTGTTATTTGCTTAACTAACCAAATATTTAGCTGTAAAGTCAAACAGGTATCACTCACAAACAGTAAAAAAAATGGCAATATGCCACCAACTTTACACAACATAACCTTATTTTACAAAACATGTAATTAACAGCTGGTTTCATTTTCTTGCTTGAAAGGTTGATCATCTTCTCTGGATAAAGACAAATATACACTTCCATCTGCTTTTCTCTGTAGCTGCTGAGAACCTAAAGAAAAGCGACATGTTTAGCATTGAACAAAAACAGTACAAATTCCTGTTATCAGTGAGAAAGGTCAGGTTTTTCAGGTGCTCTAGATATGGCTGTGCATCTCTCGGGCATCAGCGTGTACCTTGACCATATTGTTTCGAAACAACGTGGAAGCTTATTTTCCGTTTATCAGAGGGTTACTTACAGGAGGTTTGCTCATGTCCTGGATAAGGCTGCTTGCACACAGGAGGGAACTCTCCAAACATGGCAACCATCACCTGCAGCAGACTCACCAGGTCACACTGACCCTGGTAAAAGAAAGCAAATGTCTCAGAAATGCAGACATTTGACCTTTTGCCATGTTTTGTCTCTTTAAACAAGAAGTCTGTCAGTAAGAAAATCAAGATCAGTTCTCACATTCCAACTATCCAAGTAGGGCAGCTGGACTTCACCGTTGCTTGATATATACTTCCCTCTGACGATCATCATCTCCCGTGTGGGGTTTACATAACAGACGGGAGGCACAAGGGGGTAGTTTTCCTCAATCCAAAGACTAATGGGAATGTTGTATGTCCTGTCTTGTTAAGCAAAAATGAAAGATATTTAATTAAAATGCCCAGAGTCTTTCCATTGCTGCTTAAATACAATTGGTCCTAAATGATTCCACTCTGTTTTACACAGAGGAAAAAAAACGCAAAATCACTGCTACCTGAAATCACGACGGGTACAGTTCCTGTAAGAGACATCATGTTCTTTGCAGTTCCATCATTGTAAACTGTAAAACAAGAATAATGCAGCAGAGGTGACATCTTCCATATCTTCCACTAGCTTTGTAAGCTGTGCGCATTTGGATTTTACACCTACCATATCTATCCATCACCGGCACAAGGTTTTTAAAGTAAGTAATTGCAACATGGATTTCATGGGCCACATGTTTGCGAAGATATTTCTGTAAAATACAAAAGAAAAAGGGAAATGCCAGGCGAAGGCCTAAAGCAGGAACATTTCATGGTAGCAGTTTTGTCTTTCTTAGATTAGGTGTTAATGATAATTCTGCTTACCTTAGGAAGCATTTTGCGTATTGTTTCCCTACGAAATGACATGACAGAAAACAAGTTGTCTCAGAAAAGAGTAAGAACAACAAATTAGTCTATGTTGACGCACCGTCCTCAACCTTCTGTTTGTCTTAGCCTGAGTTGAATGTCCCAGCTTTTATAACCCTTGAAAACCAGGAAGAGACCGGCCCAACAGATACGCAAATGCTAAGTGTTTTGAACAAACGACACAGGAACACACTTTATCTTTTGGAACAGGATCGTTAATGCAAAACAAGATTTGCTAGAGTCAGAATTGTGCCCTACTTATTTAATTCTAATTTACCTATGGTCAGTATCTTACTCAAAGATTACTGTAAATAATTGTAAATCCATAATCTCTGAGTTGACACAGCAGTTACTATATGATAATAACATAATCCTCATGAATACCAGAAGAAATAAGACAAAGCGTTAACAAAGGTTGTTTTGAAATTGCAAATTTTTTCACAGTATCCCCAACATTTCTTAAGTTTACCGCAATTTATGTGTTATCAGTTTCTTATCTATGTGATATTTTAGGCTTCAGGAATATTCTTATGATAGTAATATTAATTTAGTTCCTCCTTCCCACTCGGCTGCAGGAAGCACTAAAAAGACACTGACATATACACACACGCACACAAAGATTTGCCCCATTTTCAGAGGAACAGTGTTGCTTTCTTTTAAATTATTTAGAAATATAGTAATATGTAGAAACGACAACAAAGCTATCAAGATAAAGACATCAACTGTGCAGGCAATTTAACAGAAATTCCAAAAGAATCTTTCTATAAAGTGTTTTGATACGGTTAAAGGGCATTTGTAATCTAAAACATTTTACAAAAGGAACCGCTGAATGTAAACCTCCAAGGTAAACAGCATTTATGACAGTCCTTTGAACCTTCATCAGAGCTTAACTGGAGGAAATTGTTCTCCATCTATACACTGTTCTGTCTGATACATTAACACAATAAATCTACAGGCCTGTGATCTCCTGCAGTCACTGACACAAGATCTGAGTTTCATCTGCACTGTTGTGGAAGGACACATTATAGCTGTTTATTAGCTGGCCCAATAGAAGCATGTGCAGACTGAACAAATGGGGTGCCGAGATTGACCCCTGGTGAACCCCACAGGTCATACACATTCGGTCTGAGACACAGTGCCAAACAAAACACCTCCTGTCCTTGAGGAAGGACTTGAATCAGTTTAAAGCCCTACAAAAGATTCCCACCCAGTCTTATGACCTCCGTTATAAAATCACTTGATCAACTGTGTCAAAGACGGTGCTCAGGTCCAGCAGAACTAAGACCGAGACATTGCTTGCATCTGTGATCAGGTGGATATTCTCTGTCACCTTGATCAGAGCTGTTTCAGTGTTATGGTGAGGCCTAAAGCCTAACTAGAAAGCATAAAACACTTTTTTAGACAGGGAAATGAGTAAGTTTTTGGTTTACCACTTCTTCCAGGAGTTTTCCTTAAAATGTCAGCTTTGCGACCTGGCTTTTTTTTTTTTTTTAAAGACCTGAGGATGACCTAAAAGTTACACCGTACATCCTGTAGGTGGCAGCAGATTTCCCAATTACAAAGAAAGTTTCATTTTTACGGGTTTCATTTTGACATCTTTATTCTCATCCTGCAATACAGTTGCCACATTGTCAAAGGGTAAATACATCTTTAATAGCTTTAACAGCTGAAAGTTTTACACACAATTCTTCCACAGTTTACAAGGGGAGAAACAAGCCCTTAAGCCCACGACATCCTTGTGCAAATCCCCCAGTGGTCCGTACAGTCTTTGCCATGCTCACCTGTTTGTCTGACATCTACGTATACCAGTGGTTTGTTGGGTTGCTTTGAGTGCAACAACATGCTGCTGCTTTTCTAAAGCAACAGGAAATTGAATGCATAGATTTGTGGAACTCTATAATATTGTCATGGGAGTGCTGTTTTAAGACTGATCAATAAAGGACAAGCACACAATCAGGACTGTAATTACATGTTATAAACATCACAATTTGTTTTTCATTCAATGTATGACGAGAAATAATTTTTTTTAAAAGACGGGAAAGAGAGTCAGACGTGGGGGCAAAGGATAATAATTTTGCACCAACACAAAGCCTCATTCATAATAATGCGCGAAGATGTGACACAGTTTGTGTCCTCTGTCCACGCCGCTAAAGGAGCCGGTAACTGAAATTAGTTGACCACCACCATCCACACAATCAACAGACTGGTCAAAAATTTTAGAAGCTCTGGCATAAGCTACAATAACTGTACAAAAAAACAACAAAAAAAAGGCTTGATGTAAAAACAATAATCCAGTAAAAAGAAATCAATCGCCAAAATTCTATCCCTCGCAGATACCTTTAAAATGTCTGAGGTCTGCATGTGTCCAAAATATACCTGTAGCGTCCATGCTGTCATCATTTACAACCAGTTAAACTTGTCAGAGGAATCTGCGCAAAATACAATAAGTAACTACCGCTTTGAGTTTAACCTATTATTCTAACAACTTGTTTTACAATTGGTTATACTGGGACTCAATGTTTATGTATTAATAGTTGAGATGTCAAACAAAATGTTATCCAGACAGTTTTTATTAGACAGCGTAAGCCAAAGATCAGGGCAGTGTGTGAGTTGTCTTTCATGTCCTACACATCTGACCACTAGTGTAAAGTCAAAAATAAGCAATACAAGAAACATTATCATCTTAGGGAGAGCGTATGAGGTACAGACGAGCTAAAAGATAAGGCAAAGAAAACACCGTTCAGTCTTTTTATCTGGAAAATAAATACAGTTACGGAGAGCACAAACCTTTCAGCAATAATAAACTAAGCAATGCTCTCCCATGATCCACTATCCATCACCTGTTGCACACAATAGTCCCACATATACAGTAAATATGGTTTGAGATTAGCACCTGACTTGGTATTGTTCCTTTGAAGACTAGTAGGTTGTGGAGAAAGAGGAGCAGTTTGAGGATAGAGCGGTATGTGTGGAAAAACTGACGTTCAACTCCGAGGCAGGACTTGTGCGTTACACTCTGCAAAACCCACTGTAACATACCTCACCCTGGTTTCCAGGGCCGTTCGTTGAGACCTTCTGAGACACTGATTCCTGAGCCTTATTATCCAAAAGGAGTAACTCTTGCAAACTTAAAATAGCAGTTATCACCGAGTAAGTAAACAATAGTCGGAAATCCAACAGTTACTAAAAAGTAGGGAAAACTAATTGTCAAATTCCGTCTAACTGCATTTAGGTTTCTGTAATAACAGCAAAGATGACAACTGGTTTTCCATGTTTTGTACCTTTCCTTTTTAACCCACAGAAAAAAAAGAAAAAGAAGTAGTCGTGAGAGAAGCTTTATTCCCAACACTTTGTATAGTTTGGAAACTGGAGTCCTATTGCACCAGAACCTACGTACATTAGCCATTACAATTATCATTTAGCAAACTTATCTCACAATAAAACATCTGAAACGTAGCCACATCCTGGAGAACCAATCATCTCTGTATTACCCATTTAACACATCTAGTCCAGGAGAAACTTGATCTTGGAAGGGTTGATAAAACATCAAACCTGGTGCCATCTGAAGTGAGCACCTTTGCTCACTTACAGAGGTCAGTGGCTTTCAAAATCAAGCAAACACACACTCGCACAAAACAAAAATCTTACCAAAACCCAAATCGGAGATTTTTTTTCTTTTTACAGCATAGGCAAATTGTTAAACAATAAAAATTACAGTCAATCCCACGTAAGCCTCCACCTGCTGTATCCAGTACAAGGACGGGACTACTTTCATTCAGGGTGACCCAACATGGGTGTGGCGAGGAGGGGAGGTGCGTTATTTATGTGTTAGGGGAATTAAATGTCCATTCCAGTACTTTCCATTTAAGAATCAGTCAGTCCTTACAGCAACGCAGCAGGAGAGGGGAATTAGGCTTCAAGGTGGGTGGAGGTAAGAGACACCTCCTTAACAACCAGTGTTGAGACTGAAAACAATAAGTTAGCAGGAGAAAAAGTGGAGCAACCCATCTTGACAGAGGCTATGGTGGTACTGCTCATGGGTCTGTGTGGACCAATATAAAAAAAAAACTGACAACAATAAAAAAAAAAAGGGTGGGGGGTGGGGGGGTGAGACCAGACAGGGCCACTTCACAGCCACCCAGGCAATAGTCCAAAATCCTCCTTTTCATAAAAGTCTACAGTTCAGTCAGCCCTGGTGGTTTCCTTGTGAGCATTTGCTTCAATCATCCTCTATTTGATAAAGTTCGAATTTGATCTTTATTTTCGTCTGTCTTTCGTGTCCATGCTGCCACGTTGCGCTGTAGCGTTTCTCCTCCACATGTAATGGAGAGCTGGGGAATAAGATAACACCGAAGGGTGCACATTAGTGGCCTTTATAAGTGTTTTTGGTAGAGAGACTTTTGTGTTTTCAATATCGAGATGTTCATATTTAGCCTTATCGGGTTTACATGTCTGTAACCTCTCACCTGCATCACGATACAACGCATCGACAGTTCATACAGTCCTGGCCGCTTTCGTCGGGCGGGTTTAGCTTCCTCAGCTTGTGCTGCCTGATCTCCCTTACCAGTGTGTAGAAAGCGTCCTCGACTCCCTGTAAAACACACAGGAACAGACAAAAGACGATGCTTTACCATCCATCAAAACACTGAATGCACATGAATAACTGACTTTTAATTTCAAAAGGTGTACACAACACTTGGCAACATTACCATAGCAACCCTGATCATTTCTGACTTAAGTTATTTAAAAATAAGTCCATGCATTTTCTTGTAGGTGACAGGGTTTAACAATGAATGAGAGTTTGTACCTACGTAATGTGTTACAGTGAGTCACAGACCGTGAAAGCAATGCAGCAATTAGTCCTTATAAGGCCTTTCAAATACTGTAGCTTTCTTCTCTAGCCAAGGTAACCTGGCTATGAGTCATTGCCTGTGGCATAATAAAAATGTTCTCAGCACAAATCTCATCACGCCGCAGGCCACGCATTGCTGTGCGAGTTTGATAATGCTGGGGTAGAAATCAGAACGACAGAAGAAAGGACGGGCCCTCCGCTAAATACAAGCGCAGCCAACACATGTGTGCGTCGTGTCGGTTCCCCACCTGTCGTGTTTTGGCAGAGGTCTCGATGTAGGGGATGCCGTAAGAGCGAGCGAGATCCTGCGCTTGCCTTGTGTCTACTGTTCGTGCAGGGAGGTCACATTTGTTTCCCACAAGCACCATGGGTACATCGTCAGAGTCCTTCACTCGTTTAATCTGTTCTCTGTAAAAAAACAGAAAAAAGAAAGTTATTGTTGATGGAATTGAATTTACATCAATTTAGCTTTTAGCGCCATCCAAGCACTACAATAAGCCCCCAATGACAAGTCTTATCATTGGGATTCTCTCGGCTTCAAAAACAACATCAACTTCCACCACTGGAGAATCAACCACCCAGGGAACTTTAGGACCCAGAGGAAGATGTACAGCCTGCCTGGGCTGCGGTGCACTGCTGAAGGAGGAGGGTGGGGGGGATAAAAGGGGTAGGAGGAGGGATGGACAACAGGCAGGCGGCAAACAGCATTACCTCATCACTACAGCTGCAAGTGCCAAACGTCATGCAGTCAGGGAGAACTGAGTGAGAAGAGTGGGTCAAATCGGCTCGGCCTGTCTGCTCATTCAGCCCCTGTACAGCTGGAGACCTCCATCACAGACAGCCCGGTCCCTCTGCAGTCTCTGCTTACCGTGAGGCCTTCACTCACCCCAAGTTTTGAGACACTTAAACCACAGACCTGTTGTCTGCTGGGGAGGACCACAAATTCATAATTCTATAAGCTGAGATTCTTGAGGCAGCAGAGGACTGTAGTGCTGTGCTTTAGCGGCTGACAGGTACCATTAAATGGGGGGTTTCAATAAAGAAATGTTCAAAACAGACAAATATCTGCACTGAGCAGCTTTAAGTGGGCCACAACCCATCGTAGCACTGCCAGTACTTATGCATGCTTTGACACATTAACAAAAGTTATGCTAAAGCAAGCTGAGCTGCACAGAAAAATGAGCCAAACTGAATATGAGGTATGCTTAAAAATCCCACCAAACTGCATGAGAAATGCACCCCGATACGTGGCCTCTTTTACTCACACATTGCATGACTGACAAGTGTTTAATGTGATGAAGGACCAAATGTGGCAAAGATAGAGAGCACTGTCATCTCCATCTGAAACTGCCCACCCCCTCCCTTTCTCCTTCCCTGTCCTTGGGAGCACTACCTCTGCCTGCTCCTCTAACTGAGTTAGGATCGATTTCATTGGCATCGTGCTATAAGCCTCCAGTTGGGGGCTAAGCTTTCTTTAGCTGTGTTAAACGCTACAGCATGACATCACCCTGCTACTGCAGAGAGCTGGCACACACACACGCGTACACACCCCTGTACCTCCAGACCCCCACGGGAGTCCCTGCAGCGCACACTTCACACACAAGTAAATGAGCAGATGACCACGAAGGGGCCGACAAATGACTTTGTGTTTATTCTCCGCCCTTTCATCCCTCAGAAACACACCTGTACTGGTGAATGTCCTCAAAAGACTTGGTGTTGTTGATGGCAAAAACACAGAGGAAGCCCTCCCCTGTCCTCATGTACTGATCCCTCATGGCGCTGTACTCCTCCTGACCTGCAGTGTCCAGGATATCAAGCAGGCAGGTCTCCCCATCAATCACCACTTGCTTGCGGTATGAGTCCTAAAGAGAGAGAGAAAAAAGGACAAACTGAGAGGTGCTGAAAAACATCACTCAATCACATCGCAATCACACAGATGGCGTTTTAAGGCAAATGCAGTCCTCTCACTTCCCTGGGCTCGGTCAGTTGTGGCCAAGCAGCATGTGCACAGTACAAAGACAGACTCTGTAAATTACACCAAACTGTGTATCAACCTACAAGCGTATCAATGCTCTGTCCAGTTTCAGATCAATGAAAATCAAGAGATCAGAAGAGCAGGTTGTCAGAGCCAATGTTTAGCCTTCCAACATGCAGTCACAAAAAAACATGGAGTGCTGCCCCTTTGTTTGTTAGAGCATGGGGGCCAGGAATGCAAATACACAAAAAGGACATTGTCTGGCCAGAGGCAGGCGTGGTGAGAAAGAGAGGCACAGCACGAAGACTGTGTCAGAAAGAGAGAGAAACATATATATATATATTCTTACCGTCCCCTGTCTACTATGCCATATCTGCAAGTCTGTCAAAGGCTTTATTTGAAATTTAAATGGGGAATAAAAGGGTGGAGAATTGTTTTTCTTTGGGAAAAATTCAAGAATTTCTCCAAAGCCTGACCACAACATTCAATTAATTTAATGACCGTAACTTGGTTTAGACTGAGAAGTCGTCTCGAGTGGGGTGCAAACTATATTTCTCAGCACTGACCAGGGTCTTAGACGTTTACATTAAACCAGAGGAACAATTTTCATCAGGAAAAGTGCAGAACATTTAAGGTAGAAATTAGACAATTTTCCAAGCAAAAGGATGGCCAACTCTGCCCAGAGATGACTACCGGTGAAACATCTAGAGAAGCGTTATACCTCTATAGTGGGGTCATATTCATCCACAAAGTGGTTCTGGATGAGCTGGATGGTTAGTGCACTCTTGCCCACGCCTCCAGCTCCAACTACTACCAGCTTATACTCGGTCATCCTTGCCGCTGCTGCTCACGACGCGCCACTGTGGGAGAGAGGAAGGGAAAGCAAAAAAAGGTGCAGGTTAGTATCCTGGCAGAAAAGTCCCACAAACACTGATAGGCAGTCCTCAGCCACCAAATTGCCACATTGTGCGCGGCTTGTGTTGCCGACGGCTCATCTGACGTGGGTGAGAAACACTTGCGTTTTGCATGCGTTTTTGCACGTATGGGGGGGTTGGGGTAAGGGTGAGACCCTCAAAGGGGAATGTGAAAAATGTGCTGAAGGTACTCAATGTTCAAATTCTCCACCACTCAGGGTGAGCAGCAGAGTGCAGGAGAGGCAGCGCTGGGTGGAAGGCGAGAGGAAAAGGAGGGGCACACACAGCCTCATCTCGAAGGTTTTCCCTTTTGCACACCTTTTCGCCTTCAGTAACGGATAAAAAAATATCTGGTCTGCACACAGGCACAGCTGAAGGCAGAAGCTTTCTTTGGGTGTTTGCCTCGTAATGTGGTGGGGTTTAATCCACAGCCACAGAGGGGGAGGTCTAAAGAGGTTTTTACGACTCCGGGTGGGACTGCTGCCACCCCTCACGGACCCACTCAACCAAATAAAAAGATCTAGACGATATCACATGCTTGTGTTAATCATAAATCGGGGAACGCTGTTGAATAATTCCTTCTCCTGAGGGCACAGAAGTGATGCCCACCAACTGTTAAACAGGACATTTCTAGGAATCCACATGTATTTGAAAGCCTGCTATAAAACATTGACAGGAAAAAATCTAATTCCAACTTTAAGGCTAAATTCTTATCAATCCAAGTTATGCAGCTGAGGAAGTATGACAACTAATTTAGTTGGGCTTACCAGACCCGATCAGTTTCAAGAGAAAAAATTATGCCATCAACATCCAGTTTACCACAACATGAAAAGAAGTTAGTACAATGATAGACGCAGTTCCCCCAACGTCACTCCAACCCCAGCACCTCTGGTTTGTAAAATTCCAGGTGTTAAACCAATGAGTAGTAGAAGTAGTCATAAGGGCGTATTCCACTAAGCTCTCTGTTGACTCAGCTTGCTGAAAAATTACCAAAAAGTTAGCAAATGGATGACCCAAATAGGACCTGATACTAGCCAGGTGAAATACACAATGACTCACAGCTGGAAAAGAAATATAACTCATGAACCTTTCATAAGAAACAAATCCAGAACAAATCTGTGGCTAAGCACTAATAATGTCTGCCAGAGACCGAGGGCAACCACTCATGCGTTTCGCTTTGCTGCATAAAGAGGACTGAAGAAGAGAAAAATTAACCATTGTTTGTATTAGGTCTGTTAGGAAAACCAAGAAACATGTCATGTCTCAAGAAAAAAAACACAAAGTCTGTGTTGTATCTGTGACAGACTACTCAGTCCTGAACAGCAATCAGAGCAGAAAACACACACACACCCTCTCACTTGTGCTTTAACTCCCAAAGGTGCACACACAGCTGGAGTGAATCTTTAACTCAAATTGTACAGACAGGAGTGTCAGTGTTCACCAAGAAAAAGAAAGAAAAGAAAAGAGAATAAAATAAGTAAAAGAGTTTAAGTATTGGAAAAGAAAGGGGACAATAAAGAGGTTCCATTTAAGAAGCAAATTGAGTGGAAAGAAAAAAGACTAAAAAAACAGACATATTTCCATATTTCGCGGCGGGTGGAGTGTTTTACAAACAGAATCTACAGGAAACAAAAACAGTTTGTGTTATTTCTGTCTGAACCGTGTGTGACTGTGCTATGGGCAGACTAATATTAGCTGACATTGTGACTGGACTGATGTTAATGATTGACAGAAAGGCAGACTAGCCAACTAAGGACAGTCATTAAGCTGCTCGTTTTTAAATCACAGAGATAAAAAAACACACACTGTATGTTTCAGCATCACATCATCGGTCCCATAAAATATAACTCGCCTCTGAAAACCCATCCCAAAAACAACAATGGCCTTCTTTTGGACGAGAAAAAACCTTACTGCTGCGATTCTGAAGCACGACAGGAAGGGAATTATACCGACCCTTCAGTTGTGTAGCCAAACATTTAGCTCCCTTTCACCTCACTGTAAGTAAATCAACCGGGTACACAGTGCAGCTTACAGAGCCGCAGAGGCAGCCCAGCTCCTCAGTCTCCTCTAACCAAATAAAAAGCAGCTGTGGGACGAAGAGGGGCTCGTGCAGGGCGGACAGACACCAAAACACTGTTGGCCAGTGAGTGTACATCAAGGCGCATCAGCGGCTACTTAAATTACAGTGAGCAGAAACACTCACAAACAGAACAAAGCTTGAAATCACAGACAGGTCGTTGAGATTTACTGCATTGGACCTCATTTGCTTGAGTAAAACTGTTCCAAAATTAATTAATTAATTAAAAGAAATAAACAACTACTTTATTCACATATTTAGTTGTGTCCTGAGTCTAATAAAGATTTAAATGTATTGCACAAAAATGAATCGCTACATTTATAGCAAAAATCACATAATTTGAACATTATTTGTTTAAGAATTAACTTCACTTGATAAATTGACTTTCACAGACTTTGAGAAATCAGTGGGTAATGGGTGGTGGCCAAAATGGCAGGATGGCAAGGATTAGTAGCATTGCCAGGGGCATCAAGCACCCTTATTCAGTTATTACTCATGTAATAAACTTTGATTCACGTCAACATAAGCAACCAAAAGACAGCCCGACTGGGAATGCTGTATTCTGACTCGGAGACATGAATTTTATAGCCTCTGTAACAAAGTTGAATCTGCCATGACTAATATTCACAAGTTAACAAGAGTTCAGAGGTCTTACCGGCGTATAGACACCCAACCCACACTTTTTTATTTTAAAACTTTTTCCAGATTGTGTCTGAGGATTTTCAGGGCCATGACAAAAATCTGGGGACTGTTCCTCTTGGACCTTCTGACCAGTTGCGAAATATGCGAGTCTTCACCTTTCAGGCGTGAGGCAACACGATTGTCTCATAAGTGCTTTCATGACACCATTTTTTCCCCCCCTTTTACAATGATGTGGAAAAAAACACACTGCTGGGCCAATATAGTCCATAATCCAAAATCAAAATATGAATTTATACAATGTTTTCCTTTTCATGGCGGGAAATAAAAGGTTTAAGTGGACAAAAGTTTTACAAAGAACCCTTTAAGTTTAGAAGTCAGGTTGAAACTAAAACTGAAGACTAAAAGGGTTCATTATCTTCATGTAGCATCAAGCTTCTTCTTCTCTTGATTTAGCAGAAAATTGAATGTTTGTGCACAGATTTCTGTGTGATTTCACTAAGTCGATTCAGTTGTCAGACAGTGAAATGTTCCCCTGCACAAGGCCATGACTTTTCTTCCTCCACCAACTTTGTTGGTAATAAGTTGTCTACGCTGTGCAGCTGAATGTTGGAAGTCAGCATCTTTATTCAAAACTTGTTATGCATCCTTCTAGTGATGACTGTAAAAAGAGCATTTTTGTTCCCAGGGCTCAAAAGTCTTGCTCTAATGTTTTCTTTCCTCTCTGCCCCATTTTAAAATCCACCAGAGCCAAAATTATACAGTATTTTTCTTAAAGTGCAGAAATAGTATTTAAAATGTTCAATTCAATATTAATCAAAGTGTTAATTAATTTTCTTATGATGATTAATTTGTCTCTGACTTTCACAAAATTTTGCATTTTCCTGAATTGAATCAATTAATAAAGAAGCTTTTTTCCTAAGGTTCCTAGGCTCCTAACTAGTGATCTAAACTGATGCATAATAAGCAACAAAGACAGGCATAAATAGAAAAAAGGAAAGCTCTATTCATCAATCCATCCCTCTGTAATGCAGCTTTTTAGACGCTGACATCAATGGTTACAGCATTTCATCTCCATATCCACATAACTGCACACCTGCCAAACCATTGACGATCAGAGGCTGAAATAATAATTCAACACATCCAGGCCTGCAACGGGGAGACTGCAGGAAGCAAAGAAGCCAGCCGTGCCATCCTCCTTCGAACTAGGCCATGTCAGGAGCCGATTAATAATCCACGCATGCATATGGTGATGAATAGCTAAATTAATCATTGATATGTGCTGCCTTGTTTCTAAGGCCACTTGTTGTCAGTTTGGACTCAAACTCAGCTGGTCTTTGTGCAGAACACCAGCATTTGCATTAGCTCTGACATATCTTTAAAAAAGATAGGGAAAAAGAAGAACTTGTAGGCTATGGTTTTTGTACACAAAAACTGACAATTTCCATCCTTCCCAACAGTCACGGGTATCAGTGTTATCCTGTGCAGTGATTACAGTCTGTGTGGATCATCCCCCACATGTAAAAACATGTTGCTAAATGATCTCATCCAGTCGTCGTTTTTTCCTTTTACATCTTTGATATGACCCGGGGAGTGATCCTACCGCGGCCTGAAAAGTAATAATCAATGATGTGGCGTTAGAGAGCTCGAAGAGGCAGATCTGAACTCCCCGTCGCCGCTGTCAGACAAGCTCCAGCAGCACTGTTTCAAACAAAGCTCTGACCTTTTCCATTCTCAACTTCCCAAAAACCTTTGCAAAGCTGCTCCCGGTTTGATCGAGGAACGCTTCTCAGCATGTTTGTGTTTAAGGTTATTTATAGCGCAGCACCTCCAGCCTCGGAAATTAACATTTCGTTTTGAAACATGAGAGCCTTGCTTGGTCCAAGAGGATAATATTACATGACAGCTTACGGAGGGTGCAAGTACAGAGCAGCAGCAATAGAGGTTTTAGAAGGCTGAAGGCAGGGGAGGGCTACTCTCACTGGGCATTGGAGGAAGAAAAAAAAAGAAAAGATCTTGAGATATCAACAATAATTTTTTTTTCTTGCTTCAGTTGATGAAAAAAGAGCCTGCATTTTTAAGTCCCTCTCACCTTGTCGTCATGGCCATTATTCCACATGTTGCAAGAAGCAACGCACATGAACGACCATCTTCCACAACATGCATTCTGCTCTCCATTAAAGGGCTTAATTGGTTAAAGAATCCATACTGGCAGAACCACTGCAGAGATAATAGATTTCTAATGGCACAATGATGGTAAGGATACCCTCTCAAGGGAGGTATCATGGTCAGATACTGAGACTCCAAGAGCCATGCTAAAGCCCTGACAGCCCATCATACCCTCCTCCCACTATTCTCCAATGACATCACCACTTTAAAAAGCATGCAAACATAAGTGTTGACCTGTAAACTGGGAAATCATGGCTCTGTTCTCAGCCCAACAGAATACAAATAACTTAGATGTTATAGAGTCAGTTTAAAGACACGTCCATACCTGACTGAAAAACTCCAATTAGTTCATTCAGCCAGAGAAAATTCCTGATTTAAAGACAAAAATCCTTTAAGAAAATGTTCCTCATCCCTTTTAACCTCCAAAGAAACATTTATATAGAATCTTAATGCTCCACAGCTCAAGCAACCTGCTCCTATAAAGGCACTGGACACCAAGTGACCTTTTCCCTACTGGGTCATCCTTTCAGTGTGCAGGGCAGTGTGAGATGGTGGAGGCAGCAGCAGAGATGAAAAGGCCAGCTGACCCCCGCACAAAGAACTGCCAGTTAGAAAGAGCCATGAGGCTTATCAGACACCAAACACCCCAAAACTCCTGGAAGGTTTTCTCTAAACAAGTTGAGGAATTTGTCCTGTCGCTGATCTGCAGGACGTGGTGAGACAGGCCAACAGAAGATTCCTAACAGGAAGAAAGAAAACAACACACATACGAGAGAAAAGCCGGTTGGTGAAATCTTGGTTTTCAGAACAGTCATACTTCTTTGACATCCAGCTCGGCAGTATCCAGGCCACAGCTGTACAGAGAAACCAACTACACATTAACACCACACCTCTGGATTATTTCCAGCAGTTATCCAGCTGCCAGAACTCTCTCCCAGGACTTGCTCATCATATATGTTGTCTCAGTGAGAAGCAGTGATGTGTTAGATAACCAGAGCCAATGAGAGTTCCAAATCAATTGCAAAAAAAAACAGAGAGAGAGAGAGAGAGCCACACACTGCTTTGTTTGCCAAAAGGATCAAAACTATTATGTTTGATGCCACAAATGGAAGCCCGAGCCAGTAAATCCTCCTGACTGCATTCCTTCTTAAAACAGTCAAAAGTGCTTTGGATGTGTTTTTTCCCCTTTTTTCCTTTCGGTTTCACTCGCTATTAAAAGTAGAGATTATTCCATGCTATCTCTGTAAATGCTATGTAATGGAATCTGACTTCCGCAGTGATACATTCAATTCTAGTGTGATGGGGCGTCACCCGATTTGTCTGTGTGGCCACTATCGGCACCAGTAACCTCACACTCAAGACCGTCTCAAAATTACAGAAGAGAGAAGAAAAAACATCGCCCTATCCTGGTTTCATTGGAAATGCCTTCAGTTTTTTTTTTATCAGAGTGATATAGGGGGAAATCCACCTCGGTCATGTTATCATCTCATTACGAACTTTCAACAGCCGAACTCAGCAGCGACTGTTTATTACAACTGGTAAATGCTTAGAAAAACTACAGTAATACAAAATAAACCCCTTCTGAGGAAATGTAAGTCATTCATCAACCAGAATGTGAAAAAAAGCAGATCTGGGAGGTGGACGGAGTATGGTCGAGGTCGCCGGGCGTGAATTAAAATGTTATGATAGCAAGCTAACACGTTTTAACAGTGGACCGCAGTCTCCTGTGGTGTTCAAAACATTGAAAGCGCATGAAAGGCGAACTATGCTTGGAAAAATCAACCATTATTACCGACACATTTCTGACAGAAACATAAAGTCTGTACTCACAACGAGCAGAGGTCTAATTAGCGATAAGAGCGACGTTTCGTCTGCCGTAGAGGAAGAAAAAAAATCTTTCAATTCCGTTGCCTCTCAGAGCAAAACAAAAATATTCCTAGGGTCCGTCCCACAGCCTTCGAGTGTCTTTGTCTTTTATCTGTATGTATATTCAATTTTCAGTTGCAAAAATGTAAGAAAGCATTCAATGGTCCCGGGTATGATGAGCCCGCGTTGAACAATGTGCTTCCACAGAGAGAAGAGGAGACGAGGAGTACAGAGCCCACGCCCAGCTATATCACACATAGAACCGCCCCGGTTACCATGCATGAACATGGAGCGTTCAGGTACAGTCAGAAAAATGCTCCCCTAATGAGGATGACTTAACTTACCTGTTTGAATTAAATCTAAAAAGTAAAAGTTTAAAAGGAAGCTCTCAAACCTCACTACCCAAGGAATCCCAGCTAACATTAAAATGTGCGATTAAGGCTGTGTTGTCTCTGTTGTCAAACGAATTGCGGGGACAGTAACATTGTAATTGTCAGGAGACCACAAACCCCATTCACAGCCCTATCCAAACATAACCTGTAACCAGACTCCGTATTCCAACTGTAATTACACAAATATTCATGTTGAATCCCAAATGAAAGAATGTGGGCCTGATCTATATTACTTTGGCCCAGAGATCACGAGGCTGACTTAACTTGGGTTAGGGAATGTTTGTATTGGCTGGATGCAGCCCAAGTATCATATGACTACTTTGACGTGAATTATAGCAAGTTTCATTAGGGGCCAGGAAAGATCCAAAAGAAACGTTTGCCCATCTGGTGGATATGTGGCGAGTCTATGCAGCTACATGTGCCTAATTGTATACCTTGATTTAGGGTAAAATGGGAAATTTAAAACAACTTCAGATTTTTGGAGGGAAAATGTACTTTCTTGAAGTTAAGTAAATGTATTATTTTCTTCAGTATATCTGACTTTTTACTTTTTGGTAAGAGTTTAATCTAACCATATTTCTAAGATGTATCGGGGAGAGTTTGTTAAACTATTAACGTATTAAGGTTTTGTCTTCTGCATCCTCGGCGTGGTTGCTCACGGGTTAAACAGGTCCATACATGAATTGTAGATTTAACTCATTCGTATTCCAATCGGGTCTTCCATTCAGCTAACTGTGCGTGCGCACTACATGTCCCAGGTAGCCATAGTTCGTATCCAGGAAGTTCTCTTCCGTTGTCAAGTAAACTTTTGGCTGTTGTAGCTCTCAGTTTGTAAACGTATAGACCAAGTTATTCTCTGCAACAGGTAAAAACGACCTTGTTACGAATGTATTTTTTCTTTATACGAATTATCTGCTTTAAATAACCTGTTTGTCGAGAGTTATTTAATTACATCAGTATTGCAAACGCTATTATTGCTAACTTCCAGTTTCCCGTTTTGTTGACAAAACAGCCGTGAGAGATGAATTTCTCTCATGGATCTGTGGCTCAGGATGTCCGGCCTGGTACAGCACGGGTTCTGGTGACTGAGTTGTGTGATTTGGGCTACATCAATCCAACTCCTATTACTAAACCCTCCGAGGACTCTGACACAGACATAGAGCTCTATTTGTCTCCGGAGAGGCTGGTAAGTTGTCAAGGAATCTCCAGTCTTCAGCAATTGTCTGCATTTAAAGTGCGTCATATGTTTTCATGATAGTGTACTCATTTGCTGCTTTAATTCACAATTTATGAGATTTATATATCAATTTAGTATACTGTACAGCAGTGGTACATGCACACAATAATTCCACATTTTCATGGAAACGTTGGTTGTGGAGTAATATTGCATGTGCAACTTTAAAATATTATTTGTTTCATCAAAAATAAAGATTGTAGTACACTTTTTTAGGTCAACGTCTGCTTTTAAAAGCAATTTGCAGTTGGCTAACTTATATACCTTTACCTGTAGATTAAAAACAACAAAATAATCGTTTTACAACTGTAGACTTTTAAAACTGTTATATCCAAGTTCAACCCACTGATATTTAATAACAGTGACATTTTTAGTAAAACTATTAATTACTATAAAGCTTCCATTTATGCAGATGTCCTCACCATTTTTTATGGGGGGGTTTTGGTACCGGTTCAAAGCTTTTTTCAAAATAATTTTGCTGTAGCATTAAAAAGATTGATTTCTAAAAGTAGAAATGACTTTATCAGCTTAAATGGAGCATGTTCAGAAATAGAATTTCACTCTGGCAAGTATACCATGTATCCAGGTGGTGCAACTATCAGTGCTTCTCCTGGCTTTTTCTTTCAAACAGTCTTGTAACTGCTTTGAGGTAAGGCTGGCACAGAAGATTACTGTTAAAGAATGAAGCCGTCACATTAGACAAGTTGTGTCTTGAGTGAAGATAAGATCAAGTTGAATATGATGTTATACGTCAGCTGGTCATTTTTGTCCTTACAGGAACTGCTGTGTGGAACTCAGGACCTCAATCATGTGACCTCATTGGAGGTCTGCGTAGACACCTATGAAAACAGATTGGGTAACTTTGGTAAGATACCATATATCAACATATTTGAAAATATATTATGCAGGCTCAGAGCTTTACTTGCTTTTGTAAGACCTTATTGTTTCCTGACAAAAAGACAGTTTTGCCTGCCAGCCATACGTGACTGAGCTGATAGCAGCGCAGAACATGTATTCATCTTTGGTCCTAAAATACCTAGATTGCACAACAAGTGTACATATGACGGATCATTGTCTCTACATGTGAGAGTCATGCTTCTCTTGAAGAATATAGGACAGAACATTAGAAAAAAAGAAAATCACCTAAATTGCTGGAGTAAATTGAAATATAATTAAATCAGTCTTCCAAACTTCCACATTAGAAATAGAAAATTGAGTCTGCTTGTCTGATCCTCATCATAGGAACCTACTTGCCGCGATTACTGCAGCTCAGATTGAACAACAGCTTGATCACATCAGTAAGGTAAGTGACATGTGTCCAACCACTCCCATGTTTTCTTCCTCGTTTATTCTCCAGATGAGCATTTTACTCCATGGAATATTACAGATTTTCATACTTTCAAGAGGCTGCCACAAACAAAACACAAACCCACAAGACAAAAACAAATGTTCAACCCTCAGACTCCTATATATGGTAGGTCTGAAGCTGTGCCTCTCTTTTAAACTTACTGCTAACTTCCCAAACAAAAGACTTAAATATGGGCAGGTTATGGCAATGTTAGAAACTGTCACTGGACGTCATACAATTAGCTACTTTGAGTTAGATAGTACTACGAGCAGGACAGAAGCTATGGAAGTTACAAAACAGCTGGAGTGCAGGTGAATTCTTCTGCTCAACTTTACCTGAGGTTTCCCAACAGGGGTGTGTGATACGATATGTACTTTATGTGTTTAAGGTGCATGCTGGAACTTGTATAAAAGACACCAGATATGATTTTCAGTTTAGTTTAAGAGAAACCAGACACATGTGGGGAACAGGTTCAGCCAGTTGTTTCATAGTTGGGCACGGTTTGTGGAACATCAGATTTTAAACTAATTGATTCTATCGGGGGAAAAAAGTCAAGAAATATGCATAGATTCTGCTAGATTGTTCTGCCTGTCTATTTCTGTCTACAAGCGCATTTGAAAACAACAAACAACTCAGACAAATCACATTCATACACACGTCCTCACACCTTATGTGAGGATAGATTGGTCAATGTTAGCAGAGAAACTGCAGAGAGACAAACAAGTATAAGCAGAGAAGATAGAGAGAGGTCTGCTCCACCCTGAAAGCAGCAAAGCAAAGCCAGCCGGACATGCACTGCCTCTGATAGCATTTCCTGCTCTAGGCTGTTGGAACTGTTATGTAGAGGGTGTTACAAGGTAAGATACACAAACTAAAAGAGATTAATCAGGAAAAGTCCAAGCAAGACTGCTGTGTTGAGAAAAATAGTAGACTACATTTTGGAGAATATAAGAGGGCTGTGATTTTCAATGAGAATAAGATTGTATTGCTTTCCTCATGATTTACAGTGCGGTGTAACTCCCTTCATGGTCTCGACACCACATTCATCCTGTTTTGTCTCCCTAGAGACTTGGGAACCACCTTTTCCAACCTGCAGGTGTTATCAATGTCTCGCTGCTGCCTCAAAGATCTGGAAGGCATTTCTACTTTCACTTCTCTCAAGGTAGTCTTAGTAGGTGACAGATGGCTCTGTGAAGATACTACAGTAGTTTTCTGAGGGTTCTTGAGTAAATAAAATGTTTGTAACGCATGTATTGATCAAAACTGTTCAAGGTATCAATGCCTCATGAGATAAATTTCTTAAAACAGCTTTCAAAATGAGTTTTTGAATTGAATGTAACTGGAGGTCACATCTCTGGTCCATTTGAGTGTGTGATCTTGGTGAAATGTGGCCTCATGTGTGTGTGGACCTGCCACCTCAGAATTTAATTTCTAAACTCTCCGCAAAATCTGTTTCTGTCCCCAGGAGCTTTACGTCGCCTACAATAACGTGTCCGACCTGAGTCAGGTTGGCATGCTGGAGAACCTGCAGCTGTTAGATTTGGAGGGGAATGATATTGATGACTTAGTCCAGGTTCAATATCTGGGTTTGTGTGTCAAACTCCAGACACTTACCCTGGAGGGAAACCCTGTGTGTCAACGTCCAAACCCCACTTCCACTCAGGTAGGGAGATTCCTTTCTACTGTTTTAAACTGAATGTGTGTGAAAAGTATTCAGGCGTAAACATATGAAAATGTATATATCTGCATTATTGTTATTTATGAAATAGATTTATTGGTTTGTCAGATGTCAGACACCAACATTTAACAAAAGATAGCTGTAGGAATGTATTGGAATCACAATAACCCAGAATTAGCTGCAATTGTCAAATTTATGCTGCTTATAAATCACAAAAAATTTCAGATTGAGCTTTTGTGTATTATTGTCTCTGCACTGACACGAGGGGAGGACTTGATTAAAAACTATTCATTTGAATATTTTCTCTTTATTTTCATCTCTAGACATCTAATGTACATATTTGTCTAGACTGGCACATTTCTAAGGAAATAGAAGTACAACCAAGTGGTGCAATCCCCAGAGAAGCAATAGTCTGGCATAAGATAAAACTAAACTGAAAACGGTTTGAAGTGAATGAAGCTTGAGCAAGGAGCTGGGCCGAGGACCTGAACAGGAAATGTTGTACTCAGTTGGTGTTGTAAAATCCAAATTACAGTTGCAGCATATGCTGATTTGAGTACCTACCTCTGATTAATTCCGTCTACAATCATGGCTGTTGTCAGTATTTGCTGACACACAAAGCATTTGTGAGAGCTGATTTTTCTACACAGGAACCATAAAAAACAAGCATGACGACCATAGAACTGACCCACTGCTCCGATAGGATGTCACCACATGATATTATGCGAGACTACACAGCTTTTTTGGGATGTTGTTGCGCAGTGAAAACTAACCAGTACATAATTGTTTTGCCGTTGATGTTTATTTGAGAAAGAAAAGGACAGTAGGTTCACCACTAGCAAGTGCTGCCGGGTTCATGGAATAAGCTGCATTTCAGGCACAGCGAGCTGTGAGCTTTTTGGGCCACTCTGAATGTGTTTATTTACACCCACTAGCAGAGTATTAATTAGGAAACTGGGGCAATGAGTGGAGATGCTGAGCTGAATATGCATTAGGCCTGTGCTTTGTAGTAACTGTGGGGTTGGCTTTGGGTTTGCCCAGTTGCCAAACCATTACTCCTCTCCCTCTCTCTTCCCATCACACACAAACACACATCCGCTCACTTCCTCTATGTTAAAACTCTCTCTTTTCTTTTTCATTTCCTCCTTTCAACCCTTTTTCTCTTGTTTTCATTCACTGCAACTTTGTGGTGTGATGAAGGCCAGGAGCACAGAGCTCTAATTTGATTTTTCAATGTCTTTGGGATTTACTGAGCTGTCGGTTCTCTCTTTTTTCTTTTGTAAATGTCAGAACATCCATCAATGTAATATTTTAGCACTTGTTGGTATCCCAACATATCTTTCATAAATAAAATGTGTGCCAAATCTTCTGTGCATTATGTTTTTGAAAATCGTCGTTCGACAAGAAAGGCAGGGAGCAATTTTATGCTGGCGCTGGAGCAATTGGTCGTCAGATCCAACTGGCTTACAGAGTAATATTAAAATGAGCCGTAAGATTACAATGAGGCAAATATGTGTTATAGTTTATTGCAGTCGTTCAACGATATGCAAAGCTATTGTACTGTGTCTTTATTTAAATTAAATAAATTCCTGAATTGGGTAGGCAGTGATATTTATGGGGTTTATGTAAACATATTGCATAAAAAGATACTTAGAATTGGCTCAACTGATGACCTTGGAATCACCTTATATTTAAATGATCTGGGGCTTGTAATGTTCTGCCTGTGTACAGTTCGATACGAGAATATGTGTTTAAAAGTGTTCTGATCTAACTTTGTACAGCAGCTGATTTGAATGCTAAATGTATTTAACTTGCTCAGTCTCCAAAGTGAGAGGGGATGTTTGTTTTATATGCTAAAAAGCTTGTATAAAAAAGTCCACAAGGCATTCAAATGGAATACTTGAGGCAAAATACATAATCTCCAATGATTACCTACAATTTTGCTCTCAATTAGCTGAACCTCAGTGGATTAAAAGAAGATAAAAATATTTTTTTTCATCCATATTCTGTACTTTTATCTGTATTCACGTTGTGCTTCTCATTTCTCGTTTTCTCTCTTTTACACAGACGGAAAGCTACAGTTACAGGGCAGCAGTGAGGGAGTTGGTCCCTCAGTTGCGTTGCCTTGATGATGTAAAAGTGGAGGAGGATAGACTGCCCCGTTATAGCACCATAGGGGAAGACTGGGACATTCTCCGAAACTCTATCAAGGAGGGCAGCTCCTCTAAAGCTGCCAGTAAAGATGGTTTGTATGTGTTATTTTCATTCAGTCAGCACAAACCTGTTACTTTCAGACATCTGTGTTTTATGGGTTTATTATATCTGTATTTGTAGAGGAGACAGCCGACAGTGGATGTTCCTACAGCTTGCACACCTCTGCCATGCGGCCGTCTTCCAGTCCTTCCTATTTCAGACCTGCATCAGCAGGTGGTTTCAGACCAAACACTGGCTCCAGATGCATGTCAGCTACTAGCTCTGGAGTTCTTTCCCCTTCCGGATCCAGACCTGGTTCTTCAGACTCCGATATAGCAGCAGCAGAAGCAGAAACCAGCATCCTCACACATGGTTAGACACTGTTGGTTAAACGTGATGTCCTATTTACTTTCATCGACAGTACTTTCATTCACTTTTATCAGCTCGTACTTTAACAACATTCATCCAAACACAACAGTGACACCAGCAGGCCTCAGTTATGCAGTCGAACACTTGGGTTCAATGAATTCCCTCATCTGCTTATTTTTGAAGGAGCTGGCAAGATCCTGTTCTGTGGAAACCCAGTCCAGGCTATTCGAGCGAGGCGAGAAAAATTGAAGGTAGGTGAAAACAAAACTTCTGCAAATCTGAGCCAAAAATAGATCAGTTCAAAAATGTGTCTCAAATCCTAATCAGATGACTTCATCAGTCCATCTGTTACTGTTTACATACAGCGGAGCCTTTGGTGTCAGCTGAGAGAAAGGCTAAGTTTTATGAGCTGTGACAGGAAATAATGGCTTTCTGGCACCAGCAGCTCACCTCTTTAATGTCATGTCAGCATAAGCAGAAGCTGCTAATAAGCAGGCAGACAAAAACCAGAGAAGACAGTCACAGTGAAAGGAGGACATGGGTGATGGAGATGTGTGAAGAGCTGTGTCAAAAGGCCATGCTTTGGGCTTTAATCTGTCACAGTGTCAGATGTCCTTTATTTGCTTGGTCTTCATTGCTTTCAAACCTTTCCAATGACTAGAATTTGCAGGTTTTATGGCCTTCATCTGTTTCATGTTTTTTATTCTGCTTCTTCTACTCAAATTTTCCTTTTCCTATATCATAGACAGCACCCGCCAGATCCACTTTCACCCCTTTGGACCTGCCCATACATGTACCCGAACACACGTTTGACCTCGAGGAGCCGGACCTTGGAGAACGCACTAATGTGTTTGCTGAGCTGAGGGCTTGGAGGGAACACCATAACAGGTGCTAAGTGGTTGTGCACATCACACTCGTTTTCACTCTGCATATCAGATCGTGGAAACTAAAGATTTTCCAACATTATTTTTAGGCGCCTTCAGGCTATAGAGAATGAGAGATTACCACAGGTCCTTGCGATAAACCACAGTGGTGCGGGAGAGACAGATGAGGATGAGGACGAGGACAGCATGCAGAGCAACAGTAGTGATGAAGAACAACAACAGGACAAACAGAGTGCCGACTCAAGTGCTGTCTCAGTGGACTCTTCTTTTCATTCTCTCTCCCCAGTTGACTACCCACAGAAAATAAGTGGTGAGTGTTGTATCTTTGTGTGATATTTTAATAGAAATAACAAAAACTCTGTTCAACAAAGTTTTTTTTTTTCTTTTTGTTGTCAGACCTGGATCCCCAAGAAGCTCCCCTGCCTGATGTGACTCTCCTGTCGCTGTCCCCAGACACCGCGCTGTCCCCTCCTCCCTGTGCCGCTGCAGCAGCACCTGTTAATAGGAGGTTGCCAGGGATCCGTGCACAAAGGCTTCGTCTCAGCCAGGGCGACCTGCAACGTTCACCAGATTTCGTCAAAGAGGAATGGGCCACTGGAGCAGAAACAGGCCTCGTGATCCGGAGGATCCGGCAGACGACAAGGACCAATGAGCGTCCTTTGTCTCTGTCTGCCCATGTACCCCACCCACCACCAAGGATACACGAAAAGGGCATGAATTCATGGTACGAAAATGTTATTTTAGTTGTATCATTTAACGATATTAGCAATATATGTTAGTATCACTAAAATCACCGATCAAGCTATAGCCATAATTTCCCCCATAAAATGTTAGATATTTAGTATGTTTAAGAACATGATAAGAACATTTCAGCATCTGTTTGTCTTATAGGGATAAAATGTTCTTAGTCTACAAGGTCTTAAATTTTCAAACAGCACAGTGTGACACATCTTTTAAAAGGACTGAGTTGTTATTCTCTATATATTGATTTATTCATTGATCTAATTTTTTATGTTGTTCCAGATGTCACACTATTCATGGTCCTAAATTTAAGTAATGTTAAGTGATACGGTGTCATAAGAATACTGTATGTCATTGTGAGAAATTATTCAGTGGAATGCAAATCAGCAAATTTATCGTGAAACTTTGAGTTCATGAACAAAAATGTCTATCTTTTAGTGTGGATATGGCCTTTCCCAGAGCGCCTTCGGGCCACAAGAAAAAGCTGTCAAAAACGCCAGACAGAGCAGTGCTTTCCCGTCCCCACACAGCCAGAGCGGCTCTGCAGAAACATCTCCAGCACCACCTTCTCCAGCCCTGCAGAGGAAGCTCACAACCAGATTAACTCCATATCTGGATCTTAAAACAATCAATCTCCATTCTATTTTCTCAGATTGCTCTCAGTCACCCCCATCTGAAATGTGAGCAAATGAGGCAAGTAATAAAGATGAAGGGAGGGGTTGAGGCAAAGAAATTCAACAAAATTAGATGTTTTTGCTTTGGGTTGTCTTGGTAAACTGGCATTAATTCATTATTACATTTGGCTCAGCATCTGTCTTCTTTTTCGTATATTTTGCAACTGTAGGTGAAAGTTGACACTTAGCTTTAATTTACCACAATTAAGGATAATGAGTCAGGGACACCGAACCCCCCCCCCCCCCCCCCCCCCCCCCTCCTAACTGCTCCTCCCAAATGTATTTTCTCTTCTAGATATATTTGAGGAACTCATACAGTTTTTATTACTTCTGATCAGTTTTATGGTTGGGGGCAGCGGAATGGAGGAAAGAGGAGATTAATTGAAGGCAAACAATAAGTCAGATAAAGGGCCAAATATCCCTCCACTTATAATTTGGTCTTCATCAGTTCTTAATCCCAGCATGTTGTTTGGATGCAACAAATTTCTGCTATTAAGGATGTTTTCCTCATTTAGACATTTCACTAACAAGTTGTTTTTTCTTCAATTGGGGATGTGGATTAAAAGGAATGTTGTTAATTCTATGAGTTTGTATTTCTGAATCTAAATGTTCCCTCAGTGATTTTCCCAGCTGTAATCGTTACCTATGTCCACTTGAGGGTGCTATTTGTGTACATGTTATGTGTTATGTTGCCTCAAAGACATACTGTACATGAAAAAATCCCTGAGACAGAACTTAAAACATTACACATGTTTTTCACTTATGAAACCCATCTTAGGCATCACTTTGATTAAAAGTAGAATGGTGCACCGTATATGTCTAACAGGCATGCGACATGGATACATTTTTCCTTGATGATCTGCCGTGGGAAATGACCCATCTGATGCACTGTGAAGGACAATTTATCAGTAATAGGTTGTGCGACACCTAGAACTATTTCACGGGATGGGAACGAGACACATCTACTACCTCAGTTCTTCAGGGCATATGATGTCGTACCAAGCCTGTGAAGTTATCACGGCCATTATATAGTGGAATTTCATTTCAGGCAAATTGAAAAGACCTGCGCTCTGTTTTTTGAATTTGCTTATTACATTTGAATTTGCACCCTGGTGAGCACGCCCTGTCTTTTTTGCCATGTCAGTGCAGTTTACAGTAAAAGTAAGTAAATAAATTAATCATCCCAACAAAGCACATGCAGTCGCTGTTAATACCTATCCCCACCGTGTTGGATTAAGAGAAAGCCACATGCTTATGGGAAAGTATGAAGTGTGTGTACACAGCCATGTCCATAGGTACTGAACAAGCATACAGTTATGTAACATGTTTGTCCATTACTCATCCATTTTCATACTGTAAATGTACCACAAACAGTTGCTTCGTGGCTGGGGTGGTTTCACTCCTCTCTCCGTATCAGGTGTATTCAATCTTTTCATAATGAAACCGGTGTCTATGTAGCACATCTTAAGGCGCAGATTGAAGAAAAATGGAATTAAGCTAGAGGCCTGAAAAGGTGCAAAAGTGGGAGAATGTCATCCTGCTCTCCGAAAAGTCTTGTAATTTCTCTGAAAAGTGTCATTTTCACCATTGGCTTGGACTGAAGGACTCATCTAGCCTGTGAGAAGCTTTCTTTTCCCTTTTTACCACTCTCCAGTTATTATAGATGATTGTTCAACCCAGAATGGTGTGGGTTTCCAGCTGTGGGTGTGGGATTGTAAATATTTTCAATGAAAGCTGGACTGTAAAGACCAGCAATTTCCTCTAATACCTTATATTATCTGAAGCAAAGGTTTTTGTTGTGAATTTTCAATAATTATCATTTGATACCACTGTAATAACATATTTATCTTAGACATTAAGACAATGTCACAAGAGATGTTTAAACAATTAGACAGTATAAACAAACAAGAGAGTGAAAAACAAGTACTGTACAAGACAACATAATGTAAATATTACAATACACACAAAATTCGTGTTGTAAATATTCAAGATGAAAATGAACAAATTGTAATTATTGTAAAACATGAGGGAAATTATCTACTTTATTTTATGATCTTATCATCTTGTTGTGACTTGAAATGGGTCACTTTTGTGTATGGCAACTGTAACTGGAAATACCTACAGTATGAGTTCAGGCAGGCCCACAAGATGCTGTTTGTACAGTACCGCAATATTCTGCCGGAAGGAACATTCCATTCTACGCAAAGTATGTCAACCTAATAACTTACCTCTTCTTGACACTTTTACAATCAAATCCAGACAAGCCACACTTAACCGTAGACTAAATTAACAACAACAACAACAAAAAAACCTTCCTCATATTCACAGGTATCTGACTTAAGTATGCTCTACTTTGTGTCTTTTGAAGTGATCAACCTCTATGACAACGCAAAACATTGGATTACACTCTCGTCTTTGCAGCAGATACACAACGTGTTATGTTAAGGTTAAACTTTGCCATTAAAGTGACCACGACATAATCACTTTCACCAGCTCTGAGTCACACCTTTACACTTATCATCACAGTGACTCATTGTTTTGCAATGCCACATCAGAACAAAGGATCAAAACAAGGTTGTGTTTTAGCAGACTTAAGTAGTAAATAGGGATGATCCTCTATGTCACCTGAAAATCTTTAAGAAGTTAGAAGATACCTTAATTTTTTTCATATGAAGCTGATTAGCAGTTTCCTTTTTGATTTTCAAAACAATTATGCAATGCCCTTTTGACTGAACAGGATAAAATTCTATTTAATTTTAGGCTGATCCCAAATAGCACTGGCAGAACAGTGTTGTTAATGCTCTTTCTCTTCTAAACTCAGGGAAATGAGAAAGTAAAGGTTTGTCAGCTGCTTCAGTCTCAGATAAAAGACAAAACCCAACACAGAGGAAATTCAACTCTCTGGAATAAAGAAATGAGTGTGTCAAAACTTTATCATTGTCACATTTCAAAATTAAGAGTAGAGTCCAATTCTAGGTTTTGCTCTTATTATTTAACACTTGGTCCAACCTATACATTCTGAAATGGGGATAAAGCAGCGACCATCTACCCAACCTTACCACGTGCTGACACAGGTTTAAAATCTTTGAAAACAAAATCAGTTTGGACCAAATTCACAGTCGTTGTGTCCCGTTGCCATGGAAATATTATATTATATTGGTAGCCCCCCTCTGGCTCCCGGTAGCTCCGTACGGGTGGCCCCCTACCGACCTTTCATTGGTTTGCTTTAAATCTAAACCTTTTTACGTTGATTTACCTTATCAACGTGCCCCCGTGAGCTTTAATTTGAAGGTCCAGGGCGGAAGTGGTGCTGTTTGCATTTCCTGCTCGTCAAACTTTACAACCAGACGAAGAGGTGGCCGATGGTCGGTCGAACTGAGTCACAGCTTGACAACTTGTAAGTATGTGTGTGTATGTGCGTGTGTTTTCTTTTTTTTGCATACGATGTTTATTCTCTTTCAGCTTGTGAAATATAACTTTTTTTCCATTTACCGAAGAAGAATGTAAACAGTGCAAAAAAGTTCACATTGTGCACCTGCGCACGAGCTAACGATGAAGTTTCGTCCCTGCTGTTATCACTGTCAGAGATAGTCCGAACGTGCCTTTAGTGAGCTCATGTTTATGTCATGATGCGTGATAACTGGGTCCAAAGTTCCGCTGATCTACCAGGAAAAGTCATGGATCTTGTTTATTATGCATTAGTGCAACAGGTGCCAAACTAGATGTTGACATGTTAAGTGAACGTATGCGAAAACTGGAATTCTAGTCTCAGCTGGTAATTGTATTTATTTGTTATAAATCTGAAGACAAAATATGCCACCATCATGTGGCAGAGCAGCACACATGAAATATATAGAATATAAGATATTCCAAAAATAAGAAATAAGTTCCTAAAAAGGGGAAATTTGACTTTGGAATAAAACTACATATTATTATTTTAAAACCTCCTCAACCCCTTTTGTTGAAGAGTTAATGAACAGATTTATAAATCAACAGATCGGGTCCTCTGAACACCAGTTTACTTTTCTCAGCATCACAGAGTTATTTCCTGTTAAAAAGTGACCTTAAAGGTCATCAGATGTTTACTTGTTTTAGACATATACAGATAATCCGATCAGAAAGGAACATAATACATCAATAAATAACACCCAAATTATTACACAGTGGCATTTATTATTTGCACAATATTTGATAGGCATGTATGCACTGTTCACTTACAACCCTATGACCACAGGCTGAAGATTAAGTTGGTCCAAAAGAGCTGGGATTTGTCAGGACACGCTCAAACAGCTGAGGGTGCCCTGCGGCGCGGGACGGAAGCAGTAGATCGTCAGATCGTGTCAGTTCAGCTGTGGGCTGGTGACGTGTGGTTTGGCCTCTCTGGGATGCAGCGAGTTTGAGGTTTGGAGGCCAGGTAAACGACTCTTGATTCTTTTATGTTTTGGAGCCCGTTGAAAACGACGCTGCCTTTCTGGGGAACGCTCAGAACTCCCTTTAAGGCCCTTACACGGAAAGCGATGAGTGCATTTACATAACAGTCGATGAGAATATTTTTATTCTAACAAGATGAACATGATGGTGGTGTTAATCTTGTGGCGGACTGATTTATGATATGACACCCTTGCCTTGTTGTTCTGTTTTTGAGGCTTTATTTGTTTCCTCCAATTCATGTTATCTTTTACTTCCTCCATGAATTAGCTGTCTCTTTCTCTTACTTCCCAAAAGTATTGACTCTTACTTCCCAAATTGGGGCATTTTGTTTGGTTCCTCATTATCTTTATCTTCATACTGTAGATAAGCAATGAACCAGAAGCTCAGCCATTTGACTATGGCCTTTTGTTATTTTTTAAATCAGTAATTATAACATACACACCACAAACATCTGTCGAAAAAAATGAAAAATGCGTAACGCCGTTGCGGTTCATTCATGTCAGACCGATTGAGGCAAAGCTTCTGCTGGAACAGGACAGGGGAACATATTGTGTAAACTGCAGTCATGGCGCCACATTAGTGAAAGTCAAATCTTTTGTGATGTTTTCCCCGTAACAAGGCAACTTTTTTTGCCCAATGCCGTTTTTGCAGTTCTAGTCATGAGGCTCTTGAACATGCCTAATTGCAACTTTTCCCTATCTGTACAACAGAATTCCTGTGGTGTTACTCATTTGCAGACACACACATACCAGCGGTCTTGTCTCCACAATCCTCTTCTCAAAGATATTAAATCACTCCAGCACAAACCTCCCTCACGCCCCTGAATACTAGTTTATTGACTCTCCTGAGAATACATATTCGAGATGTTTGTTGATACTTAATGGCTGTGCTTTATAACCATCACACCTGCCTTTTAAATTAGTCACTTTCACATCTCTTGTAGAGAGTGGCAGTGATAAGATTAGGTCCTATTTATGCCATGTAATTACCAAGTACTGATCAGGGTGTATTGTGAAATTATGGATCTTCTGAGGAGGAATGGATTGGAAGCTTCTGTTTAGCGAGGAAAAAAAGGCATTCCTCGTACTTTGTGTTAAAGCTGCAGAGACCTTTGGAATTGATTTGGGTGCCATTTTCGGAGTAGATCTAATCCCCAGGTGCACGCGC